CTTAGAAATTATAATGAAGGAAAGGAGAATGGGAGAACAATTTGAGGAGCAGTTAGGATTGAAGAAGTGTTTTAAGTTGCAGGGTTTAGTTGCATTTGTGAACTTAGAGGAAAGGTGAAGAAGAAGGAAGATGATGAAAGATACAAGAAAGGCGTTAAATGCTGATGGAAAGTCCTAGAAGATAAAGGCTAAAATCAAGCACACACAGACACATTAGCCATGAAGAAGTGAAGAGAGATTCCCCCAATCCCAAGATGGGAAACAAACATGAAGATGATTAGAGAAATTTCAAGGTAAAGAAGAAAGTTGAAGTATCAGATAATCATTTTAGCGAAGAGGCCTAGTCAGGATCATTTACGGAGTGGGATTAGGTATTTGGGGAGATTGAAAAGGTTTTCAGTGGGCACTTGGAATGTGGCTAGGAGTAGATTAGAGGTGTAGAAAGTGATTGATTTTCAAACAGTAAAGATAGGCCAATTGAAGTATTTGAATAATGTGAATTGTAGCCCATATTGCCTCAGTCTCTGAAATGATCAAACTTTAGGAAACTGAAGTCTACCAGAATAAAAAGATACAGACTGAAGAAGCACAATTTCAATTTTTAAAAATCTTTTGCCTGGGTCTGTATAATTGTATAGGGCTTTAAAAAGCTCTTTGTTCTACTGAACTGCTATTATTTTATTACTGGTAATTTTAACACCAGTATACCACTCCTTGTGTTTTGAACCTGTGGTGTAAGTTGTCATAGTCATCTGTCATTTTTAATCCTTTAGCTCCCTGGAGACTTGAGCTGTGATTTCATCTTTTTTTTTCCTTTTTGATGAGAGAGACAGAGAAAACGCTTGTATGTGCCCTTGATAGGGGATCAAACCTGCAACCGTGGTGTGTTGAGATGATGTTCTAACCAACTGAGCTACCCAGCCAGGGCTGGTTTATACTAACGGAAAAAAAACCCAAAAACTTTTAATCCTGTGAATCATTGGAAATGCATACCTGAAGACTTTTCCTTACTAGGCCCAGTGGAAAATTTATTAGGAGCTTTTGTAGAACAGCCTACCTACCCCTTTAATTTGGTATTTTTACCTAGTTTATTTACTTTACTAAAATACACCTGATTTATCAACTAGAACATTCTTGTCCTCAGAGAGCAATAGTGGAAAAAGTAAATGAAGGATTAATTGTAATGAAAAGATTGCTTGGGGGAGGGGGAAGTATTGAACAAGAATGAAAGAATTAAAGGTACTAGGGAAAATAGCCTACGATGGAGATGATGGAATGTGAAAATAGAGGGGGTAAAGTTCATCATGAGACTGAATAAAAGATAGAGTAGGAGACAGGTAGAAGGTTGTAGATGGAAGGATTTCAGAGTTTAAGATCTACAAAGAGGAGCAATTTTTTTTTTTTAATATATTTTATTGATTTTTTACAGAGAGGAAGGGAGAGAGACAGAGAGTTAGAAACATCGATGAGAGAGAAACATCGATCAGCCGCCTCCTGCACATCTCCCACTGGGGATATGCCCGCAACCCAGGTACATGCCCTTGACCGGAATCGAACCTGGGACCTTTCAGTCCGCAGGCCGACGCTCTATCCACTGAGCCAAACCGGTTTCGGCCAAAGAGGAGCAATTTTAAGAATTAAATTTAAGGAGTCATACTATATAGATTGTCAGATGATTATGTTGAGAAGATGAGGTCAAGGTATTAGAAGGGTGGGCCCTGGCTGGGTAGTTCAGTTGGTAAAATCATTGTCCCAATACTCTAAGGTTGTGGTTTTGATCGCTGGTCAGGGCACATATAAGAATCAACCAATGAATGCGTAAATAAATGGAAGAACAAATCAATGTTTCTCTGTTTCTTTCTTTTTAAGATCAATAATAATAATAATAATAATAATAAGATATTAGAAGGGTGAAAAGCATGAATGTTAAAAATCTCCACGATTTTAGTTCTCAAAAACAGAACATAGCACTAAGTGAAGTCAGTCAGAGAAAGACAAGTATCACATCATCTTCCTCATACGTGGAATCTAATTAACAAAATAAACTGATGAACAGAGTGGATCCAGAGACATGGAAGCATGGAATAGAGTGCGGATCTTGGTGGGAGAGCCTGGGTTGGTGGGTGGGAGATAATCAATCAAAGACCTTGTATGCATATATGCATAACCCATGGATGCAGACGGTGGGGTGTTGAGTGCCTGGGGCGGAAGGCGCGGGGTGGGAGTGGGCTGGAGGGGGTTGATGGGGGAACAAGAGGGACATATGTAATACTTTCAAAAATAAAGACTTAAAAATAAATAACCCTTGCCCTAATCGGTTTGGCTCAGTGGATAGAGCGTTGGCCTATGGACTGAAAGGTCCCAGGTTCAATTCCGGTCAAGGGCATGTACCTTGGTTGCGGGCACATCACCAGTAGGGGGTGTGCAGGAGGCAGCTAATCGATGTTTCTCTCTCGTCGATGTTTCTAACTCTCTATCCCTCTCTCTTCCTCTCTGTAAAAAAATCAATATTTTTTTAAAATAAATAAATAAATAACCCCCCCAAAAAACACAGCATTTTTAGAATTTCGTTTCAGCTGCTCCTTTGTTTGTCATAGCAGATTTACCTCATGCCCTGAATGCTTTTTCTTCCTCGCGTGTTCTTAATACTTCACTAGCACTGTATGTGCAATTTATTATGAATTTTGTAGTTGAGAAAGTTTTTAGAAATCATTTACTCCAGATAATGACTTTTGAGGTGCTGAGAGATTAACTTTCCTTTGGTCACATAACTAGTCAATAGAGTCAGTTAAAAACCTCAATTTCCCTTATCAAATATTAATTGAGCATAATAGCTTGGGTTGATTTCTGGGTTCTCTGTTCTGTTCCATTGATCTATATTCCTGTTCTTGTGCCAGTACCAGCCTGTTTTGATTATAGTGGCTTTGTCATATAGCTTGATATCTGGTATTATGATCCCTCCAATTTTGTTCTTCTTTCTCAAGATTGCTGCTGCTATTTGGGATCTTTTTTGTTCCATATAAATTTTTGGAGAGTTTGTTCTAGATATATGAAATATTCCATTGTATTTTAATAGGGATTGCATTGAATCTATAGATTGCTTTGGGTAGTATGGATATTTTAATGATGTTAATTCTACCAATCCATGAACACAGTATATTGTTCCACTTATTTATGTCTTCTTTTTTCAGCGTTCTATAGTTTTCCAAGTACAGGTCTTTTACAACTCCTTGGTTAAGTTTATTTCTAAGTATCTTAATTTTTTTGTAGCAATAGTAAATGGGATTATTTTTTTAATTTCCTCTTTTGGAGAGTTCATTATATCTTAACCTTTGAGACAGCATGGAAGGACCTGAAGAATATTATGCTAAGTGAAATAAGCAAGTCAGAGAAAGACAGATATCTCTTGATCTCACTTACTATGTGGAATCTAATGACAAAATAGATCCAGAGACATGGAAGCATGCAACAGACTGAGAATTCTCAGAGGGAAGGGATCATCCAAAGAACTTACATGCATATATGCATAACCCATGGACACAGGCAATAGTGGAGTGAAGGCCTGGGGAGGGGGTGGGAGTTGGGGATAAAGGGGGGACATCGGTAATACTTTCAACAATAAAGATAAGTTTAAAAATAAAACTTCAATTTCCCACTTTTGGTTTATTCTACTAGTTGTCTATCTTTAAAAAAAGCATCAAGAATCTTTCTTTAAAAGAGTATGAAGAGGTAATACTCAGAGTCTCAAAGGGGTCTAGACTCAAAATGGGTTTGGGACCTCGTCAGCTAGGGGCAGGGGAGCAGTGTCTAAACTGACTCTTTCTGCATTTACTTTATATTCTGGGGTGTCTTGGCCTTCCTGCGGGCAGTTAACACTAACCAGGTGCTGATTGCCAGTTACTAAGTTATTGCCTTTATTCAAAATAAGCATTTGAGGAACCCCCAAAGCATTGCTTGTCATACTCTACTGTTTACACATATCATCTGGAGATCTTGTTAAATTGTTATTTCAGATATAATAGGTCAAGAGTGGAGTCCAAGATTCTGCATTTCTAACAGGCTGATGTGTATTGTCCTTGGCTTCTGGTTCAAAGACCATACTTTAAGAAGAAAGGCCCTAAAGTGCTTTTGGGAACATAGTTTGAAATAATTTAATACATGGTGCTGCCTCTCTAGTTTGGTTTCTTAAATCTATTAGCTTTTGTTTTTGATTATGGTCCAGGATTATGGATTAATACTATGTAGTGGATTGCTGCTTATAGCTGAGACATCTGCAAACTGGCTAACTCAAGTTCTGCTTTCTAATCCATAACTACATTCCACTTGTGAAAAGGAATCGACTATAGTTAGCTGACAGTAGTAGTTAAGTTCAAAATGACATTTCCTGTTAGTGTCCTCTCCCCTCTTTCTTGCCCTCCAATTTATGTCATTGCTTTGAAAAAATGATAGCTCCTTTAAAAAAGGTATTTGGACTCCTCCCCTATTAATCATTAACTTTGAACATTTTGTTTACCATTTGCTGGAATGGGAGGAGAGCATGCCCTGGGAAGTAAGTATGGTTCTTTCTCCTACCATGGAATACTCAGCCCTGCCCCAAACTTGCCCTAAACCTAAAGGCCAGTGGAAATCGAGGAAATTATGAAGTTATCTGTGCTTCTGATCAAAATAGTGCCCTTCTTAAAGCATTTGGGATTTTGAAAATTTGACTCTGTTTCTGCTTACATAGGACCTCAGCAGACTTATTTGAAATCTGCACTAGTGTACCTAATAATGTTGAATGGTCCCAAGTATTTCTGTGCCCTGGCTCCCCATTCTATTTCTGAATGGGCTCTCAGGGTTATATGTAAGACCCTACCCAAAGGCTGTTTATGTATTTGATAAAGCTAGCCAGAAGTTAGAAAGCTTTTCACAAACTTGTAAAACTCTTAAGTTTGCTAGTTTTTGCTAAATTAAAAGAGCGTTTCCCCCCCTTCCCTTTCCTTTACCCGCTTCTTACTCAGAGTGAACACAAATGGATCAGACGACCCTGAGGATGCAGGGTCTGGTGAAAATAGTAAGGTCAATGGGAATAATTCTCCATCACTCTCAAATGGCGGTGTTAAGCCTTCTAGACCTCCAAGACCTTCACGACCACCTCCACCTACCCCACGTAGACCAGGTGTGTATTCCAGCCATATACTAGGGATGTAGCTCTTATACTGTGATTGTAAGTAATGTTCTGTTTGGGAATTGATCCTGAGGTAAGTGTAAAGAGGCCCTGGTAGACTGGTTTTCTAGCTGTAATTTTATATTAAAGATTTTGGCCAAGAATGATCTTTCTAAAAGTAACTAAGACTTGCCTTTTCCCTAAGTTTTTCCTCCAGGGGTGAAGTTAATGAGGCATGAGCTCTATTCAGAATAAAAATCACATGTACATTATATAAAGTACTAGAGGCCCGATGTACAAAATTCGTGCAAAAGTAGGCCTTCCTTCCCCAGGTTGCCAGCACCGGCTTCCCTCTGGCACCCGGGACCCGGGCTTCCCTCGAAGCCTCAGCTTTGTCTGGAAGGTCATCTGGTCTAATTAGCATATTACCTTTTATTATTATACATAAGCAGTACAGATAAGATTGTATCTTTCTGTCAGGGTTTGTATCTGTGTGGACATTAGTATGCCATAGAATCAAAGATCTGGTTGCTTATTCTCATTATATCCTTTAGAAAGACAATTAGTAAATGGCAAGTAATGCTAAATGATATTCAGATTTTAAAGCAAAAACTATACAATAAATGAACATACTTCATGTAATAAAAGTGTAAATATATACAGGTAGAATATCCATTTTATTCCTGACCAGCTAGAATAAATCTTTAATCTTTTATTATTTCTCTTTTCTAGTATGTGGACAGGGAATGTAAAATAATTAAACCAAATATTATTAGAAAAATAAACTGGTTGTCCACAAATTATTTCATTAAGTGGCTTTGTGTTTAATTATACATCTTCCCACTTTTCTGTAGATAATGTTAACAATATATTCCCACCTCTAAGATCATATACTACTTTGTCATAATATTGATAACTTCCTTCAGGAATTGTTTTGTCAATAAGTATTTCCTGAAGATGTAATATGTACTTAACAACTATTTATAAGAATAGTATTGTTTATTAGTCAGGTCTTCCATTATAATTAACATCAAAAATTGACCTCTAATCTGCAAGGTGTCATAAGAAAGACAATTTTAAGGATCTGGAAGATTGTTAAATGAAAGTAATAATACCATGCAATACCAACACTTACCTATTCTAAGAGTTTTTACTTTCTGTGCAATCAGGAAATCAGGATCTGTGCTTCATAATTAAAATAGGACATGGGGTAGACAGCCTAAAAAATGTAAACAAGCCTATTTAGTGGGACCATTGGCTTTTTCCCATTATTTAATTTACCTTAGTAATCTTTTCCTACATATTTATATATTAAATTTTATATTCTTCATCTACCTCTTCATTTTTTAAAGTTAAAAATTTATCCTGATTTCTGAAAATAGAAGATTATTTTCCTGTTTTTTCCAAATCTTTTATAGCTTCTGTTAATGGTTCACCTTCTGCCCCTTCTGAAAGTGATGGCTCCAGTACAGGCTCTCTGCCTCCAACAAATACAAATTCAAATACATCTGAGGGAGCAACATCTGGATTAATAATTCCTCTTACTATATCTGGAGGCTCGGGCCCTAGGCCATTAAATCCTGTACCCCAAGCTCCACTACCACCTGGGTGAGTAACTGTTTTTGGTTAATATTTATTTTCTTTTGGCATCTATATATACTTATTAATAAAGAAAATACCGTTCTTTAAAATACTGTCTTAAAACAATTGTAATTGTTTTTGGTGGGGATCTAGAATCAAAATGAACCAAAATAAAGCTCACCATATTTGAAATTTCTACCCTCATTTCCAGGGCAAAGTGGAAGAAATTTTTTTTTAAATGATTACTATTATTTTTTTATTTTTATTTTTTTTGAAAGACTGAACCATAGAAAGTTAACCAAGGCCAAGTAGTAATATAGTCACCTAATTCAGATTGCTTGTTTTAAGGGAAAAAGAATCACTTTTTAAAATAAAATAGGAAACTGAGAAAATTAGTACTCATAATCCTATTTTAATCACTAAATTAATAATACTCTAATAGATTTTATACACACACACACATACACGGCATTCAAATTAACCCAGAGCTCAGAATGCTAACCAAAATTAAATGTTTAATATATATATATATATATATATATATATATTTTTTTTTTTTTTTTATTAATTTGAGAGAGGAAGGAAGAGGGAGAGAGAGATAGAAACATCAATGATGAGAGAGAATCATTGATTGGCTGCCTCCTGCATGCCCTTGACTGGGGATCGAGCCCACAATTGGGCATGTGCCCTTGACCAGAATAGACCCTGGGACCCTTTAGTCCACAGGTCGATGCTCTATTCACTGAGCCAAGCCAGCTAGGGCTGGTTAATATATTAATAAGCTCTCATGTTGAGAATTTTAATTGGTAAGTAGATTATATATTACTAGAGGCCCGGTGCACATATTTGTGCATGGGTGGGGTCCCTCTGCCTGGCTGGCAATCGGGACTGATCAGGCCAGCTGGCAGAGAGGAGGGACCATAGGAGGTTGGCCGGCTGCGGGAGGTTGGCTTTGGGAGCGCACTGACCACCAGGGGCAGCTCCTGCATGAGTGTCTGCCTCCTGGTGGTCAGTGCACATCACAGGTCTACTGGTCTTAATGGTTGCTTAGGCTTTTATATATATACTAGAGGCCCGGTGCACAAAAATTTGTGCACTCGGGGGGGGGGGGGGTCCCTCAGCCCGGCCTGTGCCCTCTCGCAGTCTGGGACCCCTCAGGAGATAACGCCCTGCTGGCTTAGGCCTGTTCCCGGGTGGCAGAGGGCAGGCCCAATCCCTAGGTGCAGCCCCTGGTGGGGCTCAGAGCAGGGCCGATTGGGGAGTTGGGACGCCTTCCCCTGTCATGCACAGAGCAGGGCAGATTGGGAGGTTGCGATGCCACCCTCAGTCACGCTCAGGGTAGGACCGATTGGGGGGTTGGGGCACCGCCCCCTGTCACACTCAAGGCAGGGTCAGTGGGGAGGTTGCGGCGCCACCCCCTGTCACACACAGAGCAGGGCCCATCAGGGGGGTTGGGGCTCCGCACCCTGTCATGCACAGAGCAGGGCCCATCAGGGGGTTGAGGCGCTGCACCCTGTCACGCACAGAGCTGCAGGGCGATCAGGGTGTTGGGGAGCTCCCCCCTATCAGGCACAGAGCAGGGCTGATCAGGGGGTTGGGGCGCCTTCCCCTGTCACGAACAGAGCAGGGTGGATAGGGAGGTTGTGGCCCTGCCCCCTGTCACACACAGAGCCACAGGGCGATCAGAGGGTTTGGGCGCTGCCCCCTGTCACGGTGATCCCAGTGCCGGGAGGCCTCTGGGCTCCGCTGATCCTGGTGCTGGGAGGCATATTACCCTTTTACTATATAGGATAGAGGCCTGGTGCATGGGTGGGGCTGGCTGGTTTGCCCTGAAGGGTGTTCTGGATCAGGGTGGGGGTCCCACTGGGATGCCTGGCCAGCCTGGATGAGGGGATGATGGCTGTTTGCAGCTGGTCACACATCCTTCAGGGTGGGGGTCCCCACTGGGGTGCCTGGCCAGTCTGGGTGAGGGGCTGAGGGCTCTTTTCAGGCCGACTGAAGCTCCCAACTGCTCCTTTTTTCTTTTTTTTTTAATTCTGGGCCAGCTTTAGTTCTGGCTCCAGCTCTGAGGCCTCTGCTGCTGAAAGAAGGTATCTGGTTTGTTTCGGTTCTATAGTCGAAACAATGTATAACTCCAGCTCTGAGATCCCTGGCTCGCTGAAAGCAGGTTTCTGGGGTTTTGTTTAGCTTCTATATTTGTTACAATGTTTCTTAAACTGCAGGCTCAGAGGCCGGCAAGGCAGGCGGGGAATGTTGGTTTCCTCCGTCACTGAAGCAAGCAAGCCTCATGTTACTTTCAAGCTGCCTGGCTGCCGGCCGCCATCTTGGCTGGCAGTTAATTTGCATATCTCGCTGATTAGCCAATGGGAAGGGTAGCGGTCGTATGCCAATTTCCATGTTTCTCTTTTATTAGATAGGATAGATTTGTGTGGGTAGTTAGACCATTTTCCTTTTTGGAAAGCCTCCATGGGAAGCCAAATTAGAAAGTTGTTTGTGCAAGGGATTACCAAAGAGAAACTGAGTGCTCTTAGAAGTGATTGGTACTTCTAAGCTATGATGGTTTAGTCTTCTTTACTTTGGAGGTAAACCTTACCAAGGAGACTAGAATACTCAGAATGAGTTTGTCCATTGCAGAGATATATCTGACATATCTGATAAATTCTTACTCTTTGATTTCAGTGTTTCTAGAATCCAAGTAATTCTTTGTCTTTCGGTTAGTAGTTCTTTAGTTTTTCTTTCGATTTCGTTGTTTTAATTACAGCTTTCTTTTCCACTTAAGTCCTGCATATACCTTGACCAGATTGAGACAGACTGTTTCCTGAGTCTGTTTCTAGCCTCTTTAGAAATAAAAGGCTTCTCCTAGAGCAGATACTTGATACTTCTGCAGAGGCGATCTCATCCACTATGTGTCACTCTCAGTATAACATTTCTTGATTCTGTTCCTAAATTCTTTTCATATCTTCTTTATATACTGACATGCTTATTTGCCTCAGTTCTATAATATTCTATATATATAAAAGCCTAAGCAACTGTTCGACCGTCTGACCGGTAGCTATGATGCGCACTGACCCCAGGGAGCAAACGCTCAACGCAGGAGCTGCCAAGCTGCAGTGACTTGGCAGCTGCAGTTCTCGGGGAATGCACCCAGAACCAGAGAGGAGGGAGGCTGATTCCGGGGCGTGTTACCCGAGAACCACCCTCTCGCAATCTGGGACCCCTCGGGGGATGTGGGAGAGCCGGTTTGGCCCGATCCCCGCAGGCCAGGCTGAGGGACACCCCCCCCCCCCCCCCCTTGCACAAATCCGTGTACCAAGCCTCTCATGGTCATATAAGACAAAAAGGCAAAGACAGGATTAAAGATAAGTACCATACCCAGACTTTTTAATTTTGTGTTTAAGTTGGGAGCAGAGAGTGGACCAGCACGGGCGAGTTTACTATGTAGATCATATTGAAAAAAGAACAACGTGGGATAGACCAGAACCTCTACCTCCTGGGTAAGTATCTGAATTAATGAAGAGAAAAAGTGTGTATTCAGAACTATAGATTATGTCTGTAACAAAACCTTCGCTACATTCTTACTTTTCAACTCTTCCTGTCTTTAACCACTTTGTTTTGTGGTAAATGTAAACTAGTAAGAAGAGAATCAGATACTTGATGGAGCATAATGAATGATCATAATTTTCACTCAATTTTCACTCAGTTTTAACCTAAAGATTCTATAAGTCTTACTACTTCCAGGTTTTTCTTTCTGAACTTTAACTGCCTCAAACCACTGGATTTTAGGATTAGTTTCTTTAAGACTAATTATTTAAATGAGTAAGAATTATAATCCCTATCATATAAATGAGGATAAAATCCCTATATTATATATATATATATAAATAAAGTATATATATATATAAAACTTTATTTTTAAACCTCACTTAGGATACGTTTATTGATTTGAAAGAGAGAGAGAGAGAGAGAGAGAGAGAGAGAGAGAGAGAGAGAGAGATTGGTTGCCTCTAGTACTTTCCCGGACTAGGGATTGAACCTGCAACCTAGGTATGTGCCCCATGGGAATTGAACCCAAAACCTTTGGGTATAGGGCATTTTGTTCAGCCATCTGAGCCACCTGGCCAGGGCTAACAAATATTTTAATACAGCCCAGCCGGCATAGGTCAGTGTTTGAGCATCGACCTCTGAACCAGGAGGTCACAGTTCAATTCCAGGTCGGGACTCATGTCCAGGTTGCGGGCTCAATCCCCAGTAGGGGGCATGCAGGAGGCAGCTGATCAGTGATTCTCATCATTGATGTTTCTATCTCTCTCTCTCTCTCCCTTCCTCTCTGAAATCAATAAAAATATTTTTTTAAAAAGAATATTTTAATGCAGGATATTGAGCATTTACATTATATAATTGGAAGAAATGTATTTTTATTCAAGGTTAGTCATAGCAGACATGGGGAAATATTTAATCTTGCTAGTAATAGTCTTAAGTACACAACTAAAAGGCACTGTTTTACTTGTTAAATCATTAGGTACTATTTATTGTGAAATTGTGGAGGATCTTTACCTCATAACATTGCTGGGGGTAGTATAAATTAGTTACAGTTCTAACAGGAAGTATATATAACCATATTAATGCACATACTCTTAGTAAGTCCCTGAGGAAATTTATCCTAAAGAAAAAATACAAAGGAAGGAAAAACTTTTTGATATATTAAAGGTATTTATTATTTTACTATTTATGATATCAGAAAATTGGGAAGAAGCCTAAACAATCAATCAGTTAGAAATCTCAAAGTTATTATATCAATTTACTTAATATTATGTTCTCATTTGAAATGATAAATTAGATAATTGTATTCTTGTGGAAAAGTGCTTTTTGATATCTGTGAATATATATATCTATATATCTATATATAGATATATAGATATATAGATAAATTATGTCCCTATTAAGTTTGCAACAATGACAAGAACATTGGAAAGAAAATGAAAACTTTTTCTTAATGACTATTTGAGACTTACTAAATAGACATTGTGTTTAAGTTCATTAATAGACCATTTCAGAATACATAAAATAAAAGGCTTCAGGTAAATCACAAGTAGTTTCTTAAGGTAAAATGTTACTAAACATGCACCAGGGCCAAGATGAAGTCCTGTTTAATTCTTATCTGTTTCACAAGTATTTGTTGATTTAGGTTGTATTTTGTTCTGATTTAGCTGGGAACGCAGGGTTGACAACATGGGACGTATTTATTATGTTGACCATTTCACAAGAACAACAACGTGGCAGAGGCCAACATTGGAATCCGTCCGGAACTATGAACAGTGGCAGCTCCAGCGTAGTCAGCTTCAAGGAGCAATGCAGCAGTTTAATCAGAGATTCATTTATGGGGTGAGCAACCTGTTGCATTATAAACTTAAGAATATTTGGTTTTTACCTTTTCCTGAATAGGAAATATAAAGCACTAATTAGAAGGAAGGTGTATGTAAGTTGGCAACCTAGTTGTTGCTATTGATATTGTTTTTAGACCTTATCTCAACCATTCTGTGTATCTGGTTTGTTCTTTCCTATTTGAAATTTCCTGAAGTTCAACCTCCTTTATTTTGTTAATGTCAAAAAAAAAAAGATTTTAGGACAACTTAAAAGCCATGGACAAAAGAATAGTAAAAATAAACCAAAACAATTTGAAAATAATTAAAACAGTTCTAAATTTAGTACTACCTAACTTAGCAGAACATTTGAAGGCTTGAATCTAAGAACATCTGACTCTTGAGTGGTTGTACAAAATTAATGATAGAATTTAATCACTTTGCAATGTATAAAGGTAAAGTATACCTGATAAATTATTTGATGTTTTGGGAAGCTACAGAAATTTGCTTTTTATTGGATTATGTTAAATAATATTATTCTGCCTTCAAAACCAAATTATGTTTGGTATAAAAAAATTCCTTTTTGGTCCTATCCGGTTTGGCTCGGTGGATAAAGTGTCGGCCTGCAGACTGAAGGGTCCTGGGTTTGATACTGGTAAAGGGCACATGTCCGGGTTGCAGGCTCGAATCCCCAGGAGGGGACGTGCAGGAGGCAGCCAATCCATGATTCTCTCTCATCATTGATGTTTCAGTCTCTCTCTCCCTCTTCCTCGCTCTGAAAATCAATAAAAAAAATGTATTTTTTAAAATTTCCTTTTTGGAAATTCATTTAAATTTTACATATTTTTCTTTAGAGTAATGTTGCAGTAATGGTGACATACACTGAAATATATTAATGGTTTGTCATACAATCCTTTTTTTTTTTAATTCTTTATTGTTCAGATTATTACATTTGTTCCTCTTTTTTCCCCCCATAACTCCCCTCCTCCCAGTTCCCGCCCCACCCTCCGCCCTCACTCCACACCCACTGTCCTCATTCATAGGTGCACGATATTTGTCCAGTCTCTTCCCACATCTCCCACACCCCTTTCCCCCCAAGAATAGTCAGTCCATTCCCTTTCTATGTCCCTGATTCTATTATGATCACCAGATTATTTGTTCACTTGATTCTTAGATTCACTTGTTGATAGATGCATGTTTGTTGTTCATAATTTGTATCTTTACCTTTTTCTTCTTCTTCCTCTTCTTAAAGGATACCTTTCAGCATTTCATATAATACTGGTTTGGTGGTGATGAACTCCTTTAGCTTTTTCTTATCTGTGAAGCTCTTTATCTGACCTTCCGTTCTGAATGATAGCTTTGCTGGATAAAGTAATCTTGGTTGCAGGTTCTTGGTATTCATCACTTTGAATATTTCTTGCCATTCCCTTCTGGCCTGCAAAGTTTCTGTTGATAAATCAGCTGACAGTCATATGGGTATTCCCTTGTAAGTAACTGAGTTTCTTTCTCTTGCTGTTTTTAAGATTCTCTCTTTGTCTTTTGCTCTTGGCATTTTAATTATGATGTGTCTTGGTGTGGTCCTCTTTGGATTCCTTTTGTTTGGGGTTCTCTGCGCTTCCTGGACCTGTAAGTCTATTTCTTTCACCAGGTGGGGGAAGTTTTCTGTCATTATTTCTTCAAATAGGTTTTCAATATCTTGCTCTCTCTCATCTTCTGGCACCCCTATAATTCTGATGTTGGTACGCTTGAAGCTGTCCCAGAGGCTCCTTACACTATCTCCGTATTTTCGGATTCTTTTTTCATTTTGCTTTTCTGGTTGGGTGTTTTTTGCTTCTTCGCATTTCAAATCTTTGCCTTGATTCTTGCGCTCCTCTGGTCTGCTGTTGGGAGTCTGTATAGTATTTGTTATTTTAGTCCGTGTATGCTTAATTTCTAGTTGGTTCTTTATCATAACATCAAGGGTCTCATTAGATTTCTTGAGGATCTCACTACATTTATCGGCGGCTTCTAGACAGTTCTTAAGAGACCTTAAAAGTGTGGTTCTGAACTCAATATCCTCCATTGACAGTTTTGTCCTGTTTCTTTGTCTCCGCATTTTTTATGCTTTCTTGGTGCACCCCCTAGTGGTCTTTGTGCGCAGTCTTGTTGTAGTTAAGCCTTGATTGTTGTCGGCAATACCGGGGGTGATTTGACCTCCAGGCTAACTGGCTATGAGAATCCGCTGTATCTGCAGTGGGAGAGCTTCTGTGCTGGATCTCTAGGGCAGTGCTAATCTAGCCTTTGCCTGAGGCTATCCGGCAAATGGCTCTGCGCAGGGCTTGGGCGGGGCGGGTCCCCGGGGATCTACAGGGCGGGCCGGAGCGAGCAGTTATGGCTGCTCTCAGTTCCGTCCCTAGGGGCTCTGCCTCACAGAGTCCCAGCAACCGCTGCAAACCTCAGAGAGAAAGCTGCCTTCGAGTTCCGACCGAAGCCAGACAGTCCCGCTTCTCCCGTTTGAGTCTGACTCCCTAGAGACTCGCCCGGATCTGGAGCTCAGAGTCTGAAACTCCCTCCCGATTGAAAACAACAACCGCGTCCTCCGCCTCCAGCCCGCTCCGCGTGCACTCCGCACCTTAGTATTTCACTTCAGCACTGTGCCTCCTCTGAGTCTGGGTATGATATTCTCTTTCCTCCTAGTTGTAGAATTTCCACTCAGCCAGCCTTCCTGTGGTTCTGGATGATGTCCGTTCCGTCTTTTAGTTGTTTTTTGAAGTGGTTGTTGGAGGCAACAATCTCCGGCGTTAACCTATGCCGCCATCTTGGTTTCTCTGTCATACAATCTTTGATGTTAGAAGTTTTACAGTCTTTGAGAATCACAGATCTTTTCTCTGAGGAAAAGAAAATAGTTCTTGGAGAAATTTGATCCTACATGATTAACAAGAGGGATTTGTTTTCAATAGTATGTAGAACTTAAAGAAAGTCAACTCTATAAGAGTTCAAGAGAAGTTGACCCTCTTCATTGCCATCTCTTGCCCTCTACCACCACCAGTACAATCCCATTTAGAATCCACTAGAGTAAAGTCATCTGTCTTCATTAAGCATTGTTTTCTTTTCTCCATGATCCTGTGTATTTCTTGGACCTCATCATACTAGGTATCACTCACTGACAAATTCACCTTTTTTAAAAAAATGTTTTTTTATTGATTTCAGAGAGGGAGAGAGAGATAGAAACATCAGTGATGAGAGAGAATCATTGATCTGCTGCCTCATGCATGCCCCCTACTGGAATCAACTCCGCAACCTGGACATGTGCCCTGACCTGGAATTGAACGGTGACCTGGTTCACAAGTCAATGGTCAACCACTGAGCCACAGTGGTCAGGAAACAAATTCACCTTTATTGTCAGCCTTACCTGATTATGACTAAGACTAGAGGTCCAGTGCACAAAATTCGTGCACTGGGGGGCGGGGGCGCGGGAGTGTCCCTCAGCCCAGCCTGTGCCCTCAGGGAATGTCCCTCTCGCAATCTGGGACGCTGCACACACCAGTGACCATACTTTTTATACAAGTGAAAGGCATCTTGCTATTTTATGAGCAGCTACATTTTTTTGCCCTGATTATAAAAAGTAGTACATAACATGATCCTTCTGAGGCATTAGTACTATTTTCCCCATCTTATGGGTGGAAAAACTAAAGCAGAGAGAAGTTAAGTAATTGGCTTTGTCACACAGTTATAAGTGTCAGTATCAGGGCTGACCACAAAATGTGCAAGCCATCCATGCATGTCATCACTACATCATCCTATTTATTCAGTGTTAGAGTAGCGTTGCCAGATTTTAATTTTTAAATCTGAGACTGTTCCCAATATATAGGGTAGGGTCCCTAGGCCTGGCTGGCGATCAGGGCTGATCTGTGGGGTGACCAGTGGGTGGGGGGGCGATCGGGGGACCCCCCGCTGGCACCTGCCTTGGCTGGCAGCCTGGCGCCACCTGTTCACCAGCTCTGCCCCCTGCCACTGCTGCCCATCGCCTCCCTCTGCAGGGAGATTGGCAGACAGGGTGATTGGGGGTGCCCCCGCTGGCAGCCACCTTGGCTTGCGGCCTGGCACCGCCCACTGGTTGGCCCTGCCCCCCAATCGCCACCACCAGTTGCCTCCCTCTCGGTGGGCAATGCACATCATAGTGGCCAGTCATTCCGCTGTTTGGTCGACTTGCATATTAGGGTGTTATTATATAGGATTACCTTTTTTACACAATTATTTTTCCTGCCAACTTCTGTAGATAGCTATCACTGTATCAATTTTTATCTCTTGTCTACCTTATTACCCTTTTGTTTTTCTATGTTGTTTTACATTTTCTTTTCTTTCTAAATTATAATCAGCTTTGGTACACCTGGACAAATTTCTTCTAGGTTTTAATGACTAGCTTTTCTGCCTTCTTTAAAGCTGGTTTCTACATGGGTGTCCAGTGGATAGAGCATGGATTTTGGAGTCAGACACATCTGGGTTCAAATCTTGGTTCCACACTTTCTCTATATGATTTTGAGTAAGTTAACTAACCTTATCAAGAATCATCTATATCCTATCTAATAAAAGACAAAAAGGGTAATTAACCGCACCTCCGCTACACTTCCCATTGGCTAATCAGCAAGATATGCAAATTAACTGCCAACAAATATGGTGGCCGGCAGCCATGCAGCTGAAGCGAGCAGGAGGCTTGCTTGCTCCAGTGATGGAGGAAGCCAAGGTTCCCCGCCTGCCACGGCCTGCTCTAAGCTCTGAAAGCAACAATGTTTCAATTATAGACGCTAAACAAACCCCAGTTACCTGCTTTCAGCCAGCTGCGCCCTCAGAGCTGGGAGCACCAGTGATGGCAACAAAGTTTCAATTATAGAAGGTAAATAAATCCCAGAATAAAAAAAAAAGAAAAGAAAAAAAGGAGAGACCGGGAGCTTCAGTTGCCGGCCAGCCTGAAAACGGCCCTTAACCCCTCACCCAGACTGGCCAGGCACCCCAGTGGGGACCCCCACCCTGATCCGGGACACCCTTCAGGGCAAACCAGCCGGCCCCCACCCGTGCACCAGGCCTCTATCCTATATAGTAAAAGGGTAATATGCAAACTGACCCCAACAGCAGAAGGACTGGGAATGACTGGTCACTATGACACACACTGACCACCAGGGGGCAGACGCTCAATGCAGGAGCTGCCCTCTGGTGGTCAGTGCGCTCCCGCATGGGTGAGCTCTGCTCAGCCACAAGCCAGGCTGATGGCTGCCAGTACAGCGGTTATGGTGGGAGCCTCTCCTGCCTCCTCAGCAGCGCTAAGGATGTCCGACTGCAGCTTAGGTCTGCTCTCCACTGGCAAGTGGGCATCCCCCGAGGGCTCCCAGGCTGCCAGAGGGATGTCTGATTGCCAGCTTAGGCCCAATCCCCCGGGGAGCAGGCCTAAGCCAGCAGGTCGTTATCTCCCGAGGGGTCCCAGACTACGAGAGGGCACAGGCTGGGCTGAGGGACGCTCCCCCCGCCCCCGAGTGCACAAATTTTTGTGCCCCAGGCCTCTAGTATATACATAAAAGGCTAATATACTAAGTGTCTGACCGGTTGCTATGACACGCACTGACCAGCAGGGGACAGACGTTCAACGCAGGAGCTGCCATGATATCCACAAAGGAAATTTGGCTTCCCCCAAGTGGGACACAGGCCCTGCCACCACCCTGGAGCGACAGCCCACCAAATCATAACCAACGCTGCCAAGACCCCATGACACAAAATGCAGCCCACAGCCCAGCCTGGAAACGGTTGCTGTGGGCGCTGGGTAATGACATCACATAGCAACGCCTGGCTTCCTCTCCCTAGCGACAACTAGCCTCCTTGGAGTTTCTTCAGCCCAGGAACATGACTTGCTTTATAGCTAGATGGAAACATTTTACACTTTAACCAAATGTCTGTGAAGTTTTTCCCCGTGCCTCATCTCATTTGATCCTCACAGAAGTCCTGGAGTAGGTAGATAGGAGACTTGGTAGAATCCTATTTTCTTTTTATTAGCCGGAAAACAGAGATTTAGAAAGCTTAGAAACTTGACCCAACTAAAAAGAAGTAAGAAATGGTAGACCTTGAAAATGATTTCAGGTTTTCTCACTGCACAGAATATGGTCAAATACTGCTGCAGTTAAATATTTTACCCTTTGTTCTCCCTGCATAATCTACAATAATAATCTGCTTCATGTTGATATTTACTGCTGTGTTGCTGACAATTAACTGAAAGAGAAGTTGAGGTGCTTCACTAGGCAGAAAATGTTTAGCTACATCAGAAAGCAGGTGTAACTAAACAAGTTTATTCTATATCTATAAAAGGCTAAGTTGACTTGTGCATGCACAATACATATAAAGCTCTCGCTGGCGCCAAACGCATGCGTGTGTTTTGATCTGTCATTGTCGATCGTGAATTTGGTTGACACTTCTGTTACAGAGAAAGGGCAAATAGCGATATAAAAATATTTCTTCTAATTAATTTCCTTTCAATGTGTGCGATTCTGTGCACCGGGCCATTAGTTACTTTATAACATACCTATAATTACTACAGGGGGTTTTCTTGAGGATTCTGTAAAATAAGTTTTCTTGTTTTTGGCACATACTATATGCTTAGAAGTATTAGTTTTCATGTTTTCTTTCCCTCATATTCACAATTGTAAATGTACCTTCTGTCTCACGTTTACAGTGCATAATCTTTTTAAACATTCTATTAAAGGCAAATTAGCAAATTTCTGGAGCACCTACAGTATATGGTTTCATTTTAAACCTGACCAATTTGATTCTCAAAGTCTTTGGAACTTTGCTTGAATTGTAGCTTTTACTCGATATCCATGATTTTTTTTGTTTGTTTTTCTTTTCTCCTATTCAAAATAATTTGACTAATTTTCTGAAATTCTTACTTTTTGCTCTTGCTATAGAATGTCTTGCCATAGAATAGTTTTAAATTATAAAGAACTTATTTTAGTTTTCCTTAACTTAGCCAGGGACATGAACTGAATTGAATGAATTTAACATTCCTTTTTTTTTTTCAGTACCTTTTAAATTGATTTTATAGAGAGAGATAGGGGTGGGGAAGAGAGTAAGATAGAAACATTGATGAGAGAGAAACATAGATAGGCTGCCTCTTGCATGCCCCCTACTGAGGATCAAGCCTACAACCCGGGCATGTGCCTTGACTGGGAATGGAACTGGTGACCTCTCCACACGGGATGACACTCAGCTGAGCCACACCAGCCAGGGTGAATTGAATATTCTTAATATCAACTACATAAAAAGTTATGGGGTCATGGGGTGTTGCTGAAAAAGTCTAGTTATTGGGCATATAAATTTGCCTTTGTCTGACCCTGGTTACAGGGCAGTGGACACATATATGAGCATTTTTAACCTCAGGTTGTATATGTTGTTGATGTAACACTGTGATAGCTCTTCCTGGCCCATGGCTTCACAGCTTACCTGTCCAGGGAGGGTCAGAGGGATAGGGTTGGGTATTAGAAAATAATCAAAATGGTTTTTCATATGCCAAACTTTTCAGACATGTTCTATAATCAGGGTTCAGTTCTTTTATAGTGTTTCTTCCTGGCCTCCCTACTCTTACTCCTTTTTATTATTGCATCTAGCAAGAAGAGCAAGACCAGTTCTTTTTATTTTTTTATTTTTCCCCCCAGTCCCCTCAAGACCAGTTCTTTTTTTTTTTTTTTAATATATTTTATTGATTTTTTACAGAGAGGAAGGGAGAGAGATAGTTAGAAACATCGATGAGAGAGAAAGATTGATCAGCTGCCTCCTGCACATCTCCTACTGGGGATATGCCCGCAACCCAGGTATATGCCCTTGACTGGAATCGAACCTGGGACCTTTCAGTCCGCAGGCCGACGCTCTATCCACTGAGCCAAACCGGTTTTGGCAAGACCAGTTCTTGACAGGTCTATCTTCCAAGAGCTGTTATATCGGAAACGGGTATCTCTCTTACAAGCTTTAAAACTTTCAATCAGTTAACTCAGTTTCTGCAATAAGTCAGTGGCATAGGAAAAATCAATTGGGGGAACCTACTGTAGATTGAGACAAAGAATCAACCAAATGTAATGTGATGACTTTGCATCTGATTTGAACGAATAAGCAATCCTGCATTTAATGAAGGATTGAGTACTAGGTGATACAATTAACATTGATTTTGCTGAGTGTGGTAAAGGTATTGTGGTTATGTAAGAATATGTTTACACATTTTATTTTATTTTTTTAATATATTTTTTTATTTCAGAGAGGAAGGGGGAGAGAGAGAGAGAGAGAGAGAGAGAGAGAGAAACATCAATGATGAGAGAGAATCATTGATTGGCTGCCTCCTGCATAGCCCCTACTAGGGATCAAGGCAGCAACCCTTGACCGGATTCGAAACTAGGACCCTTCAGTCCGCAGGCTGACGTTCTATCCACTGAGCTAAACCCGCTAGGACTGTTTACACATTTTAGAAAGGCATACTAAAATACAGTACATGGGTGAAATGATGACAGATTACGTCTTTTTTTTCTTTTTTCTTTTAACCCGAGGATATTTTTCCATTGATTTTTAGAAAGATTGGAGGAGAGAGGGAAAGACAGAAATATTGATGTGGGAGAAACACATCGATTGGTTGCCTCTTGCAGGAACCCTGACTAGGACCTGGGCCAGGGCGAAGTCTGCAACCCAAGGTATGTGCCCTTGACCAGAATCAAACCCGGGACCCTTCTGTCTGTAGGCCAACACTATACCCACTGAGCCAAACCTGTTAGGGCTGATTAAGTCTTGTATGTAGTTCTAGGCTTATCAACTCTTTTCAACTGGAATTCTTTCCTTTTAGTCATTTGACCACCTGTTCTTGCTCCACTGATTCTCTTCCCATAGTTCTTTGTATATACTATGCTCTGTATGTGATCCTCTCTTTTTAAGTTAGAAATAAAAGATTTTTTGATGAAAGAGAATCATTGGTTGGCTGCCTCCTGCATGCCATCTACTGGGGATTGAGCCTGCACCCCAGGCATGTGCCATGACCGCAGATTGAACTGTGACCTCCTGGTTTATGGGTCAATGCTCAACCACACCAACTGGGCTCGACTAGTAATTTTAAACAACATATACTAGTTGCTTCTTGCTTTCTTCTCAAGTCTGATAATATCTGCTTTTTTAATTGGGAAGTTTATTTCATCAACATTTACTATAAATTTCTATGTATTTGTGTTGAATCTATCATCTTGGTGTTTGGCTTTTATTTGCTACCTCTTGTATTTATCCTTTCCTGACTGATTGAATCAAGTATTTTGTATCATTTAATTTTATCTCCTCTAATGACTTTATCTTTATGGCTCTTGACATTTTAGTTATGTTTCTTTGTGTGTTTTTTTGTTGTCATTTTGGTGGTTGATTTAGTCATTACAATATGCACTTTAATTTGACACAGTATATATTAAAAATATGCAACTTTATAGAGAAAAAAAAGAAATACAAGATTTTTTTCTTTTCTCTGATGACTCAGTACTGTTATTTATAAATTATTTTGGGGGGTTATACACAGGTGTGAGCAAAAATTGGTTTACAGTTGTTAATACAATAATTAATAAATAATAATACAAGAATAAACTGTTGCTTACTCAGAAGTATTTTTTTAACTTACTGATTTGTAGCTAAGAAGGAAAAAGTGGTCATGGGGGGGGAGAGAATGAGGATTATGCAGTTGTAATATTTGATTTTCAAATAATTTGAAACATTAAATATTGTTTGCACGAATTTTTTTTTTCTCCACCAAAGTGTATTGGCATTTATCCATGATCATGTGACACTTCTCTAAGATGTGAACTCTATTAGAGTGTGTTATGTTGCACAAGGCCAGGAAAAGCATATCAGAACTTACAAGGTTGCTCTCAATTTGTCCAAGTCCAATATTTCACCCTTTTTGTTGTTCTCTTTAGAATCAAGATTTGTTTGCAACAACACAAAATAAAGAATTTGATCCTCTTGGTCCCCTGCCACCTGGATGGGGTAAGTTACATACATTTTTTTGTTGAATTTAGTCTTTTTAAAACTCAGATATTTGTGGATGATATCTTATCCTTGCTTGAATTAATATCTGGGAATATTTGGGGAGTGTTGGTTTAATTTAGAGTGCCAAGTAGGCATTAAATTTCCCCAAAATTCTAAGTTGACCTTTTATTATAGTAAACTTTTATTGGAATTTAGAATTGTTTTATTCCTTTAAAGTTAAAAATATTTTGCTCAGCTATAAAAAGAAATGGATTATTACATATAGCAATCTGATGGACCTCAAGGGCATAATGCTTAGTGAAAAAAGTCAATCTCAAAAGATTATGGTTCAATTTACATAACACTCTCAAAATGCCGTAACTTTAGAGATGCAAAACACATAATAGGTACCAGAAGAAAGATCCAAAGATAACTGTACAAATACAGGAGGTAACTTAAGTGGTTCTTATGTAGTGGTGGAAGAGTTCTTTTTGTTTGCTTTTTAATGTATTTTTATTGATTTCAGAGAGATAAAGGGAGAGAGACATAGAAATATCAATGATGAGAGAAGAGAATCATCAAATGGCTGCCTCCTACACAGCCCCTACTGGGGATCAAGCTTGGAACCCAGGCTTGTGCCCTGACTGGGAATTGAATCATGACCTTTTGGCTCATACGTTACCAGTCAACCATCGAGGCACACCTGCTGGGCATAGAGTTGTGTATTTTGACCATGGTGGTGATTACACAAATCTGTACATGGGATAAAAGTAAATAAAACTATACATTCACATAAATGAATTCAACTTTAAAAATTGGTGAAAATTAAATAAAATCTGTAGTTAATAGTAATTTACCATTGTCAGTGTCTTGATTTTGATATTGTACTATGCTATGTAATAAAAGCCTAATATGTTAAGTGTCCGGTCGTCCATTCAACCAATCAAAGCATAATATGCTAATGCTGCTCAATCGCTCACTATGATGTTCACTGATCACCATGGGGCAGATGCTCTGACCAGTAGGTTAGCTTGCTGCTGGGGTCTGGCCGATTGGGACTGAGCCAGACGGGCTGGACATGCCCTGGAGTCCTCCCGCAGTCCCTCTCCGGCTGGCCAACCACCAGCATCCCTCCCCGGCCCCAATTGTGCACCAGTGGGGTCCCTCGGCCTGGCCTGTGCCAGCTAGTAATCCAGGACCCCTTGGGCCCGGCAGTGGTTCTCAACCTTCCTAATGCCACGACCCTTTAATACAGTTCCTCATGTTGTGGTGACCCCCCAACCATAAAATTTTCGTTGCTACTTCATAACTGTAATTTTGCTACTGTTATGAATCGTAATGTAAATATCTGATATGCAGGATGTATTTTCCGGGGTCGCGACCCATAGGTTGAGAACCACTGCCTTAGGGAATGTTGGAGAGCTAGTTTTGGCCTGATCCCACAGGCCAGGCTGAGAGGGCCCCACTGGTGCATGAATTGATGCACTGGGCTTCTAGTTCCTAAAGGTGTCACCACTGGGAGAAACTGGTTGAAGGTTTATGAGATTCTTTGAATGACTTTTTTTAAAAATATATTTTATTGATTTTTTTTACAGAGAGGAAGGGAGAGGGATAGAGAGTTAGAAGCATTGCTCAGCTGCCTCCTGCACACCCCCTACTGGGGATGTGTCTGCTACCAAGGTACATGCCCTTGACCGGTATCGAGCCTGGACCTTTCAGTCCGCAGGCTGACACTCTATCCACTGAGCCAAACCGGTTACAGCTCTTTGAATGACTTTTGCCACATCTTGTGAATAATATTTCAAAAGATAAAACCTAAAAAATAACATTTTTATCACATGGATGCCTCCAACACAGTTCAGAGTATGGTTGAGTTGATGTTACCTGTAAAAACAGTGGAATGGGCACGTGTAAGGATGGTGACTTTGTGTTGTATACCATTGAGCACATCACATGAGCATGCTCTGTTACTGAGTACATTTGGTACTTCATTATTAAAACTTTGTTAATACACCACATTCTGTTTTATAGTGTTATACTAGTGGCCCAGTGCACGAAATTCGTGCACATTGAAAGGGAATTAATTAGAGGAAATATTTTAATGTTGCTATTTGCCCTTTCTCTATAATAAAAGTGTGAGAGATAAAAGGAAATGAGTACAATGTGTATGAAAATAATACATAATTTTATTAATAAATAAACAATAATAAAATGATATAACAAAAAATTCATGATGTAAAAACAACACTGATGCAAATAATGACTTATAAAGTGATTAAACTTATTCTAATATCTCCCTGTATACCACATTAAGAGTAAAAACACTTTCAGAGTGCTTGACTAATTTCCCTTGGGATAAAGTATTTACAACTTTAACATCACACGCTCTTCGAACTCGAGAGAAAGCAACATATAACTGACCATGTTCGAAAACGGGTTCAGGTAGGAATATTCCTGCTCTGTCTAGGAATATTCTATGTTCGAGAATTGCATTCTCATGTACTCCATTTTCACTGAGAAGGCAGTTCCTACCGGTATTGGTAGTACTTGTTGATGACTGTTCTCTAGACATTCTGTCGTCGCCACCACCTTCTTTTCCCTTCAAAGGCACCTTGGTCTTTAGACATTTTTCTGTCGATGGTGCCTCTGTTTTTCGGCTTCAGAGCGACATTTTTCCAGTAGCTGCTCAGATACATCCTGTCGCAGGCGCCGCCTTCTTTCAAGATCAGACGCATGTTGCTCTGCAGGCATTTTCTGTCGATAACGCCAGCACTTTTCGGCGACAGAGCTGCCTTGTATCAACTGTTTCACTTTGGACATTGTCCTACCTGTCTACTGACACCGTCTGAGATGCAGGAGAATGAGAGTCCTGCCTGTCAGGCCACTGAGAGCTGTGTGACTAATGGCTGATTCTGGATGATTCTGTGGGGGTGGGACTTCCCCCTCTCTGCTGTCACTTTCCACAGCTGTGATGAGGAAGCTGGGGTGACAGAGAGCCACACTGTCCCCGGAAGCCTGGGTCAACACTGGAGGACCGGTTGGGGCCGTGACTGATGGCTGACGGGCAGCAGTCACCCTGCCAGTGCCGGATCTCCCGCGGAAGATCCAGGCTGGAGGGACGACTGCTGCGGGAGATTCGGTCTGGCGGGGCGACTGTTGCGGGAGATCCGGGCTGGCGGGGAGACTGCTGGCTGTTACAGTCACCCCGCCAGCCTGCATCTCCCGGAGGGAGGGCCGGTTGGGGGCGTGACTGATGGCTGACGGGCAGCAGTCGCCCCACCAGTGCCGGATCTCCCGCAGGAGATCCAGGCTGGAGGGACGACTGCTGCGGGAGATCCGGGCTGGCGGGGAGACTGCTGGTGGTCGCAGTCGCCCCGCCAGCCCGGATCTCCCGGCGGAAGGGCTGGTTGGGGGCGTGACTGATGGCTGACGGGCAGCAGTCGCCCCACCAGTCCGGATCTCCTGTCAGGAGGCGTGACTGATGGCTGACAGGCAGCAGTCGCCCCGCCAGCCTGGATCTCCCGGTGGGAGGGCCGGTTGGGGGCGTGACAGCTGGTGGACCGCCAGGGTCACGCCTGCCATCCAGGTCACAGATAGCAGGCCTGGATGGCGGCGGGGCAGGCAGAATGGCGCTGTCCCATCCTGCCTGCAGTATGCAAATTAGCCGCCATCTTTGTTGGCGGTTAACCGCCATCTTGGCTGGCAGTTAATTTGCATATCACCCTGATTAGCCAATGGGAAGGGTAGCGGAGTGACACTAATTACCATGTTTCTCTTTTATTAGATAGGATGTTATAACACTGTAGCAATTTTCCAGAAGGTATTATATGGCAGTGTAGAAACAATTTTTCACAGAAGCCAAAGAGGATATAGAAAGTGGAAAACAGCAAAGAAAAGCTTGTTATGGAAACAGAGCTGTAGATATTTCAGAATATTTGGGTAACTTCAGAAAGTGGTATTTCTAGATAGTCTTATTGGGAAGCATTGGTCCCTAACATAGATTGCTTTAGTATTACATTACCAAGGGATGGAGGAAAAAAATTCATATGTACTAGCTGTATAATATAAGCCTGCCTTTGAGAAAACCCATTGCTCTTAAGCAGTTATTTATCCTTAATGCTCCTGAGAATCAAAAAATATAGTTGTTCATACTTATAACTGTATTACCACCAGCTTGAAATAAAATCTGGACATGTGAAAATTGTAAATTTCTGTCTTCACCAAAGCCGGGTAGTTACTGTTAAGGAGTCTTTTGGCTCTGTTGGAGCCTCGGAGTATGGTCAGTGTATGGTTGATATGAATGTACTTTAGAAGAGGGGATGTTGCCCTTATCAGGCATATTGAATAAGATCTGTCAGATTGCATTCCCAGAAATGGATGGATTTTGTATGAACTAAACTAAAGAAACGCTTTATTTCTTGAGTTTGTCTATGTTATGTTGAAAAAAAGAAATTGAAGCACTGAAAGGATATATGTATTTATCCTTTTAATTTTATTACAGAAAAACCATGATCCAATGGTTTTTGTCAGAAACACCATTTTACTCATCCAGAGCAGCTGCAAGAAAAATTGCTGCTTCTTCATAGCAGCATGAATTACAGTCATTGTTGCCTTTATTCAAAAAGCTTTTCCTGCAGCTGGTCTTGCCTCATGTATTTATCATCCTCATCATCAGAATCTTTCTTATTTTTACTTTAGCCATCATCTCCCTAAAATACTTCCTCTAAACACCCAGTCCCAGCTTATCCAGGTTATAAGAATGTTACCTTTTTTGTTTTACATACATTCTGCTTATTTTTAGGTGTCACAGTCCTTGAAATTGAAGTGTGCTCCCCTTCCTAAATGAGTTCATGATCATTCTGTTACTCAGACTGAGCACTGCTTATGACTGTCTGCTTTGGGGGCATATGCCTTACTTGTGGTACTGTGACAGATGAGATCCACATGACATCCTCAGGATTGACCCAGGAAATAAAATCCCAGTTTATATTCTGTGTTTACGTTATGAAATTGACAGCCTTATTTTTGTGACACCATACATATTTAAATCTAATTTCCTCACCTTTTCAGACATTTAAATGCTAGGACAGACATTATTGTCTTAAAATATTTTCTTAACACATGCAAACTATAGAGGCTGGATAATGAAGAATAGTTTTGGTTAAGGAGTCTTTTGGTTCAAAAAAATGTAGTCTAACAGGCCTTTTTATGTAGCTGGGTTTACCCTTCAAGTATAAAGATATTTATTTATTTTGAGAGTTGCTATGAAAGAATACATAGAACAAGAAGAAGCTTCTCCTTTTTACTGTTTTATTCATCAAGTCAAGAAGTGTTCTGATGTGCATTCAGAGTTCATGTTCAGTAATTTCAGTATTGTTTATCATGTGATTTTTCAACAAAGAAATCAGTTCTACAGCCACAGTTCTTCCTCTCATTGAACAGATGAGCCTTCAATTTGCAAGTACATCCATCCACCTTTGAAATTTTGTTTTTCACAGCCTCTTCTAAAAAATGCTTATATCAGCAGTATATACTTAGAAAATAATAGAAAATACGTTTTCTATTAACTTTATCTTGCCTCATGTTTGTTTTTTGTTTTTTTTTTTTTTGGATACTTGCATTTATCCTTTAATTTTCTTTCTTGATTAAGGTATTACATATGTGTCCTTACCTCTACCCCCCCATGCCCCCACACCCCTGGTGTCTGTGTCCATTGGTTATGCTTATATGCATGCATACAAGTCCTTTGGTTGATCTCTCCCCCTCATGTTTGCTTTTGAAGAGAAAATCTCTCATCCTAAAATCTGAACTTACATGGCAGATAAAAGATGAATATATGCTTAGGATATTACTTTTAGATGAACAATATTACTCTGCAAAATTCTTTGGAATCAAGAAATTTATAGGTTCTGCAAATATATTTTAATTTTTAAAATTTAATGTGACTGCCAAGAACATGAACTTACTTTGTTGCCTTTAGCCAGCTGTAGTAAGTGGGTGCTTCTTTTTGCCTCAGAATCAATCTTAAAGTTAATTACATGTTTCTACACTCAAGATGCCATGATCAGCAAAACCAGTGTTAATATTCATTCTGTCACAAGATGCAGAGTCCCATTTTTCTGTATATCATGCACACCTGGAGTTCTGTTTCCATTTTAGTCTCAGCTAATAGAAAGTACTGATATGGCCCTTGCTGGTTTGGCTCAGGGGATAGAGCATCGACCTGTGGAATGAAGGGTCCCAGGTTCGATTCCAGTCAAGGACACATGCCCAGATTGCGGGCTCAATCCCCAGTAGGGGGCATACAAGAGGCAGCCAATCAAAGATTCTTATTGTTGATGTTTTTATCTCTCTCTTCCTCTCCCTTCCTCTCTGAAATCAATAAAAATACATTTTTTTTAAAAGAAGAAAGTACTGATATGTCAGGAGTGGGTTCATGATACTGAAAAATATGCCCCTTCTAACCCCCCATATCATCACTGCTACATGAAATCATGGAAGCAGTACTAGAGATACTGTTAAATGTTAACAAATATTTACTTGCCCTAGCTGGTTTGACTCAGTGGATAGAGCGATGGCCTGGGGACTAAAGGGTCCTGGGTTCAATTCCGGTCAAGGGCACATGCCGGAGTCACGGGCTCGATCCCCAGTAGGGGTGTGCAGGAGGCATCCAATCATTGACTCTCTTTCATCATTGATGTTTATATCTCTCCCCTCTCCCTTCCTCTCTGAAATCCATAAAAATATATTTTAAAAAAACAATAACAAATATTAACTTGACAAGGCTATATAATTTGGCCTAAGACTCATCTTGCAATACTTTGCTTAGAGAAAGATCCAAAGGCTCTAAATAAATGTTATTTTAAAAATAGATACAGCCTGGCTTGTGTTGCTTAGTGGTTGAGTGTCAACCTATGAACCAGGAAGTCATGGTTCACCCAGTCAGGGTTGCTGGCTTGATCCCCCAGTAGGGGGCATGCAGGAGGCATCTGATCAGTGATTCTCTCATCATTGATGTTTCTAGCTCTCCCTCTCCCTTCCTTTCTGAAATCAGTAATATATACTTGTTAATCCTTGCCTGAGGGTATTTTCCCATTGATTTTTAGAGAGCATGGAAGGATGGGGGGGAGACAGAGAAGAGAGAGAAACATTGATGTGAGAGAGACACATTGATTGGTTACTTCACACATAAACCCTGACCAGGGCTGGGGATCAAGCCTGCAACTGAGGTACGTGCCCTTGACAGACTTAAACCTAGGTCCCTTCAGTCCCAAGGCCAATGCTCTAACCATTTTGCCAAACCAGTAGGGCAATAAAAATATAGTTTAAAAAAATAAGAAAACAAATAAAAATAGGTACAACTTTTTTAACTACAGGAGATAAAATTTGACTTCCTAGCATGAAATTAAATTCAAAATTTCATTTGAAAATTGCTAATTTTTAGAAAATGTTTTTCATAAAGTTGGAATGGAATGTATACTCTGTAATACTTCAGTTATTTATTTGGAGACATCTTGGCCAAATTAAAAAATTCAGATACAAGAAGTGACCTATCTTTTGAAGAATTAATTGGTAATGGAGCACAGAAGTGTGAATAGTTCAGAACAGTATTAATATTAAAATTTCAAAACTATCTGTTTAATAAAGGAGGAAATAACTCCACATGTCTTCTCGACCTTAATGAGAGCTCAGGGAAGCAGGGAACATTTCTAGAACAGGAACAAGAAAACAAGGAGAATCCTAAAGCAAGGGCAGGGGTAGGAAGACAAGCAGCAACTTCAGACACAGTAAATTAAAGAACTGAGCCCTGCTGCCCAGCCCTTGTGCAGGAAGTTACTATAGATATTTAGGATTTGGGAGCTGGGTATATTAAGGAATAGGACATATTTTGAAACAATGTCTTTCCTAGTTGAATAATGCCAAGCATGTAACAAACAAGTTATATTATCCCCATTATGTTTTAAGAAATGAGATGGTATAGTATGGGGGGGGAGGGGGAGGAATGCCTGAATGAAGGCCTGAGTTTCCATCCTGTCACTGCCACTTAATTCTGAGATTTTGGGCAAATAACTGAGTTTGTTGTTTTTTTTTCCAAAATAAACTAAAATCACTTACCCAATGAGACTTTAAGGATAAATGAAGTCATCTCTGAAAAGTTAAAATGGTTAATTAATAGTGCTGTTGTTAGTTGGATTGAGCAGAAAGATTCTTTGAGCAGGACATTGTGAATTAACTATGTTTAGCTTCTAGGATGTAATCATATTTTTATAACTTTAGTATATATAAATTTATTAATGAAATAATAAACCTTTTAAAGTTGTGATTTAAAAACTACGAAATCAACAGTATAATGAGAAATGGGCAAATTCAGCTCATTTTATTATTTTAGTTTAGTGAAGAAGACTATGCCAGCTCTAATGCTTTGCTTTGTTTGTTTGTTTAAGAAAAGAGAACAGACGGCAATGGTAGAGTATATTTTGTCAACCACAACACTCGTATTACACAATGGGAAGACCCCAGAAGTCAAGGGTAAGAACTTTCGTTTACTGGTTTATAAATAACTCTTAAAGATTGTACCGTTTCTGATTCAGTTAGGAAAAGGATCAGTTACATAGTCTTTCCGCAGAGGCCTTAAACATTACTCATTCACATACCTTATAAAGAGAAAAAAAATTAAACTATTTAATATAATGGATGTGGATTTCTTGAGAGTATAGGGGGGCGGGGGGGGGAATCACTGGCTTGTGCCAATACATTTAAGTATTCAAAAAAACCTGTTTATTATTAATAAGACCAGATAAGTAACTCTAAAGCAGGGTTTTGCAACCTGGGATCCACTGGATAAAATTCAGGGAGCTTGTGACTTAGGGAGAAAAAAATTAAACATTCAGTTTCATTAACCTTTACCTGAATTTCCATTGTGATTGTAAGGTACAACCAGAGTAGAATTAGCAATGCCTAGGACTTTACCCCCAGTAGAGATCATCATTCTGCAGTTGTTGCAGATATATCAAAATATTGTTCACATACATCGTTACAATAATTAGCTAGTTAATCCTATATAATAAAGAGCTAATATGCTAATTAGACCTGACAGCTGAACGACCTTCCAGACGACCAGTGTGCAGGGAGCAGGGCCGCGAGGGCCAAGGCAGCCAGGGCTGTGAAGACCTACTCTTGCATGAATTTCATGCATCAGGCCTCTAGTATATTAATAAGAGTTACATTACTATTATAAGTTTGTCTTTTTGCTGTTTAATAACTGTATATAGAATTGCTTTTCCACTGAGCCAAACCAGTTAGGGCTAGAATTGCTTTTCTTTGTAACATTATGTAACGGTGTGTGTATTAATTGGCTAAGGCTGCCTGAACAAAGTACTTGTGGCTTAAACAACAGAAATTAGTTTCGTAGTTGAGGAGCTACAAGATCAAGGTGTTGCAAAGGCTACCCTTCTAAAGGTGGTAGGGAAGGGCCTGCTCCAGGCCTCTCTCTTAGTTTCTGGTGGTTCCTTGGCTTGTGGCAGCATAATTACAGTTTTGAAATGGCACTCGCTCTGTTCAGATTTTCCCTTTTCATAAGGCTACTAGTCATAATCGATTAGTGGCCCACCATTTCCATTTGAATTAAGTACATCTGCAGTGATTTCCAAATGAGGTCACATTCTGAGGTATTGAGGGTTAGGACTTCAACATAAGAATTTGCAGGGGGTACATAATTCAGCCTATAGCAATATGTAATACTATGCATTTAGCAGACTGCCAGAAGGATTCCATTCTGCAAGAAATTTGGCTAGGTATACCGTCAGAGAGCACAGTCTCCACATGATTGCCCTCACTTCAGACATTAGCCATAAAATGGGACCAACTGGCTACAAATTTGGAAGTCCCCACACTCACTTTTCAGGTTTGATTACTCAGAGAGACTTGAACTCACTGTAGCCTCTTGTATTCAGTCATGTTATTTCAGGGAAAAGGATACAAATTAGACCTAACAGAAGGAAGAGATGAAAAGAGAAGAATCTGAGAGGGTTCCAAACACCCAGAATTAATGTGAAACAGTGTGTGTGGAGTGTTGTTAAGCATGGAATCTCATCTGAGTCTCTGGTGTCCAGAATTTTTATTAAGGATCCATCGTGTACTGCCTATGTGGGTAACCTTTACTCGCTAGGCCTTTCCCAGAGTTTGAGCTAAAACCTTTAGTTTTCAGTTATGCCAGAGGTCAGACTTATGTGGAATATTCCAAAGTCTCCATCAGAAAATACATTGTTAACTGTCTGAGTGTTCAAAGCCTCCAAGCAAAGATACTCCTGACAGGCAGGACATTCCAGAGGCCTGCAAACAAGCTCCCAGTAGCCCAGGGCAAAGGCTGTCTGTTTAGGTCTGATTAATTCTTCACTTAATACATTCATGGCTCAAAGTTTTAAGAACTGCTGTTCTAAAGGCATGCTTTAAATTTAAAATCTATTTCTGGGTACCAACAAATCACAACTTTTTTTAAAATGGAGTTGTGGTATTTAACTAAAATATTTTTAATTTCCCAAAAAGGAAGAATTTAAAAAGTAGCACTTCTAACTCCTCTTTAAAATTCTATCTCTATGTGTGTGGGGGGGAGGTTGGGGGTTAATGGGGGGGATGAAGACACATTTGTAATACCTTAACTAATAATAAAAAAAAAAAAAAATTCTATCTCTAAGGATAGAATAGACCATGTCACCTTACTGTAATTTGCTACCATTTTTTTGTTCCCCGTTTTCCTTTAACGTTTCAGAACTAAAGTTAGAATCCTATTTTAATACGGATAACCCAGTTCTATTCCATTTGTTTTGTTTTTGAGACAACAACTTGTTACTAAGTCTGTCTTGCAAATACAATTAAAACAAATGAGAAGTGTTACCTTTTTTTTAAATTTTGGTAGTCTGTTTTATCTGACATTGCACTCAGTTCTGTGAATACAGCTAAATGTTCTGAACCTCTTGACATAGTTTAAAAAATACTGTTCTGTGCAATGTTCTTAGCCTTTTGTTCTTCCAAAGTATACCTAAGGAAAATGACGTACCTGTCTCCAACGGTGGCTCTGTAAAACAGTGAGCTTAAATGCCTTCAACTTCTGTCCATGGGGTGACAAATGTAGCCACGTCACCCTCACATCCAGTTTAGATCGTTGGTAGTGGTGAACAGTGATATCACCTTGAGAGAACTGATTTGATAAGATCTCTATTTTAGTGCTCTGTCAGCAATATGAAATAAATGAGTGGAGGACCAGAGTGAGACTAGAGGCAGGAAAAACCAGTTAGGTGGCTGTTGTGAAACTTTAAGAGAGATGAATAAAGCCAGAGTAAGGATGGTGCAGGGGATTGAAAATAGTGACTAACATGAAGACATCTAAGGCAGAATAGGCAGAACTTAGTTACCATGGGATGTTTAGATGGGTTATTAGGTAGATGGGGAATGCAAGTCAAGTAGGTAAGAGAAGACTGAGTGGTGGTTGATGGATCTGTTGACATGTTCACATGCTTTATAGGATAAAGAGGATATAGGTAAACTGGTCTAGTAAACAACTGGGTATACTGGACTAAATGGTTTTCTAGAAGATTCCTACTGCATATATGTGTGTTTTTAGTTTCTGTATATGGCAAACAAGCAACTCTTTAACATTTTTGTTTGTTTATATTTTTTCCTATGTTCTTCAGTCAATTAAATGAAAAGCCCTTACCTGAAGGCTGGGAAATGAGATTCACAGTGGATGGAATTCCATATTTTGTGGACCACAATAGAAGAACAACCACCTATATAGATCCCCGCACTGGAAAATCTGCCCTGTAAGTTTTCTAAACATTGTAGATTAAAAGAAAAACTGATCCCAAGATTTTGATGTAAAAGATCTGAATTAGCAAAAAGTGCAGTTCTTACCATTTCTTGAGTTGGTCTGCCCATAGGTTTGTGTTCACTAAGTATTTTGTATTTCTATTACCCTCTTGAATATTTTCTGCTATATACTTTTCATATTGTTGCCATCTTTGCACATAGCAGTAAATGAAACTATTTAGAAATTACCAGTATAGTACTGCTCACCAATTAATCCCCGATTTCTGATGCTTATTTTCTTAATTTCTATTATTTTTAACTTAAAAGTTCCCTTAGCTTTGTTTTTCTTTTTCATTTTTGAAAAGTAGCTGTTTTGTTCATTTGCTTAATATGTTTTATTTAGGTTTTTTTCTTTAATTATTATGGTAATGCATACATAACAAAGTTTACCATTTTAAGTGTACAGTTTAATAGCATTAAGGACATTCACATTAAACAATAACTCTCCAATCCTCCTCCCTCAGCTACTATTCTACTTTCTGTCTTTATGAATTTGACTGCACATAGAAATGGAGTCAGACAATATTTGTTTTCTGGTACTTATTTCACTTAGCATCATGTCTCCAAGATTTTTTATGTTGTAGCTTGTATCAGAATTTCTTTTCTCTTTAAGCTGAATAATATTTCTATCTATGTATGTACCACTTTTTGTTTATACATCTATTCATGGACATTTGGGTTGTTTTCACCTTTTGCCTGTTGTGAATAATGCTGTTATGAACATGAAGGTATAGATACCTGTTCGAATCCTTGCTTGTGTATATACAGATAAGTGAAGTTGCAGGATCAAATGCTAATTTTGTGGGGTTTTTGAGTCACTGCCATACTATATTCCATATCAGGTACACCATTTTACATCTCACCAGCAGTGCACATGGGTTCCAGTTTTTCCAATCTACACCAACAGTTGTTTTCTGTGTTTTTTGTTTGTTTTTTAAAATGCCATCCTATGGGTATGAAGTAGTGCCTCATTGTGGTTTTTATTTTTATTTCTCTAATGAATCATGATGTTGAGCATCTTTTCATGTGCTTATTGGCATTTGTATATCTTTGAAGAAAGGTCTGTTCAAGTCCTTTGCCTTTTTTTTTCCTTGCCCATTTTTTAATAGAGTTGTTTTTTGAGTTTTAGAAATTTTCTATATATTCTAGATACTCAACCTTGTCAGATATGTCATTTGCAAATATCTTTTTTCATTTTATGTGTTGCCTAAGAGTTGTGTAGCTTCAGCACCTATATTTAGGTCCTGGATACATTTTTAGTTAATTTTTGCAATGGAGGTAAGGGTCCAATTTCATTTTTTTGCATATGGATATCCAGTTATCCTAGCACCATTTGTTGAAAAGACTGTCCTTTCCCCATTGAATGGTTTTGGCACCCTTCTCGAAATCATTTGACCATATATGCAAGGGTTTATTTCTAGACGTTCTATCCTGTTGTCTGTATATCTGTCTTTAGTTTGTACCACACTATTTTGATTACTATTGCTTTGTATTAAATTTTGAAATTAGGAAATGTGAGTCCTCCAACTTTGTTTTTCTTTTCTTTTTTTTTCTTTTTTTAAATCCTCACCCAAGGATATTTTTCCATTGATTTTTAGAGAGAGTGGAAGAGAGAGGGAAAGGTAGAGAGAAATATCAATGTGAGAGAAACACATCGATTAGTTGCCTCCTGCACGAGCCCTGACCAGGGAGGGCCTGGGCCGTTGAGGAGCCTGCACCCAAGGTATGTGCCCTTGACCTGAATTGAACCCTGACCCTTCAATCTGCAGGCTGATGCTCTATCCACTGTGCCAAACCTGCTAGGGTTGTTTTTCTTTTTTAATATTGTTTTGGCGTTTTAAGGTCCCTTGAGATTCCATATAAATTTTAGGGTAGATTTTTCTCTTTCTGAGAAAAAGTCATTGGGATTTTGATAGAAATTGCACTGAATTTGAAGTTTGCTTTGGTTAATATTGACATCTTAACAATGTTCAGTATTCTAATCCATGAACATAAGCTATGTTTACATTTATTTGCCTTTAATTTCTTTCAACAGTGTGTTATAGTTTTCTGTGTAGAAGCCTTTTATTCTCTTTGTTAAGTTAATTCCTAAATGTTTTGTTCTTTTTTTGTTTATTTGCTTGTTTTTATTGATTTCACAGAGAGTAAGGGAGAGGGAGAGAGAGATAGAAACATCAATGATGAGAGAGAATCATTGATCAGCTGCTTCCTACGAGCTCCCTACTGTGGGATTGAGCCTGCAACCCAGGCATGTGCCCTGACCAGGAATCAAACGGTGACTTCCTGGTTCATGGATCAACGCACAACCACTGAACAACACTGGCCAGACTGTTTTGTCATTTTTGGTGCTACTGTAAATGGAATTGTTTTCTTTTTTTTTTCTTCTTCTTTTTTTTAAATATATTTTATTGATTTTTTACAGAGAGGAAGGGAGAGAGATAGAGTTAGAAACATCAATGAGAGAGAAACATCGATCAGCTGCCTCCTGCACAAACCCTACTGGGAATGTGTCCGCAACCCAGGTACATGCCCTTGACCGGAATCGAACCTGGGAACCTTTCAGTCCGCAGGTCGACGCTCTATCCACTGAGCCAGACCGGTTCCGGCGGAATTGTTTTCTTAGTTTATTAGTTTATAGAAGTGCAACTGATTTTTGTGTATTGTTTTATATCCTACTTTGCTGAATTTCCTTATTATTTCTAATGGATTTTTTTAATCTGGAATTTTTAGGGTTTTCTGTATATAAGATCATATCTTTAAACAGATAATTTTTACTTTCCAATTTGGATGCCTTTTATTTCTTTGTCTTGCCTAATTATTCTGGCTAGACACGGGGGTGGGCAAACTTTTTGACTCAAGGGCCACAATGGGTTCTTAAACTGGATCGGAGGGCCGGAACAAAAGCCTGGATGGAGTGTTTGTGTGAACTAATATAAATTCAAAGTAAACATCATTACATAAAAGGGTACGGTCTTTTTTTTTTTTTTAGTTTTATTCATTTCAAACGGGCTGGATCCGGCCCGCGGGCCATAGTTTGCCCACGGCTGGTAGAGCTTCTAATACTATGTTGAATGGAAATGGTGAAAGTAGGCATCCTTGCCTTGTTCCCTATCTTAGTGGGAAAGTTTTCATTCTTTCACCATTGAGTATGATATGAACTGTGGGATTTTGATATATGTTATTTTTTGTTGAGGCAGTTTCCTTCTAGTCCTAGTTTGTTGTGGATTATTTTTTAAATCATGAAAGGATGTTGAATTTTATCAAACACTTTTATTTGCATTGAGATGATTTTTCCCCTTTATTATTAATGTGTGGTGGATTACATTGATTTTTTTATACATATATTGAACCAACTTTGCATTTTAAGATAAATACCACTTTGTCAAAAGTATTAAAATTTTACTCCTTTTAATCTATTGAATTTAGTGTGCTAGGATTTTGTTGAGAATTCTTGTATTAGTGTTCATAAGAGATATTGGTCTGTAGTTTCATTTTCTTGTAGTTTTTTTGTCTGGCTTGACATCAGGACTATCCTGACCGCTCATTACTTTTTAATTTTATACTTTTTGTGTATTAAAAACTTTCATGTTTAAAGCAGCACTAGGAAATCAAGCCAATTAGGTATTAATGAAATCAGAAATGATTTATGTATGGAAATAAATTATAAATAGGTAATTTTAGATCATTCATTTCAATTATAATTACATTTGGGTACATATAACAGAAAACCTCAAAACGATAGTGGCTTATATAATACAGAAGTATATTTCTTTCCATCATTTAAAAATGTTCCGGTGGGACTTACACAGCACACTACTGAATAATCCATGGCTCAGAGAAGTAATCACAAAGAATTAGGAAATACTTTTGTACTTACTGATAATAAAAATACAACATATCTCAGCTTGTGGGATTTAACAAAAGTAGTCTTTAGAGACAAATTTAATGCTTAAAAGAGTAGGTTAGAAAATAAAGGTATAAAATCAATCATCCTGCTTCAAATATTTAAGAAGATGGAAAAAGAAAAGTTAATTAAACCCCAAATAAGCACAAGAAAGGTAATTAGCATAAAAGTAAATAATGAAATGAAAATATGAAACAATAGAGAAAGCAAAGCTAGAAGTTGGATCTTTGAGAAAGATGAATAATATTGATAACCCCTAGTAAACCTGAGAGAGAAAAGGAGAAAACAAATTACTAATATATTAGAAAGTGAAGAGATATTGCTATATCCCATACACATGAAAAGATAATCTATACTAATAAAAGGGTAATATGCTAATTAGACCAGATGTCTTCCAGACGTCCTTCCGGATGTCCTTCCTGACAAAGCTGGGGCCTGGGTGAAGCCAGCCGGGGTCCCAGGTGCCTACAGGTGGCCCAGGCGAAGCCAGCCGCAGTCCTGGTGCCTGCAGGCAGCGGGAGGAGGGAAGCCCAGGTCCCGGGTTCCTGAGGGAAGCTGGTGCCGGCAGCTGGGGGAAGGAAGGCCTACTCTTGTACGAATTTTCATGCAGTGGGCCTCTAGTAAGATAATTTTGAACAACTTTATGCCAATAAATTTGACATTTAGATCCAGTGGGCAAATTCCTTCAAAGACACAAGTCACCAAAATGGACATAAGAAGAAATAAATCTGAATAGCCGTATATGTGGTAAAGAAATTGAATTCATAATTAAATAATTTCCCAGACAGAAAATTCTTGACCAGATAGCTTCACTGGTAAATTTTATCAAAATTCTATATAAATAACAAATAATATCCTGTTCAAATTCTGTCATAAAATATAAGAGATAGGAACCTTTCCTAACTAATTTTATGTGGTTTCTATAACCCTCATACCAAAATCAAACAAAAACATTATAAAAAAATTTTTGAGTAATCTTTATGTGAACAGAAGGTAACAATCTTTAACAAAATAAAGGCAAATTAAATTTAGCAAGATAGAAAAGAAATATTACACTATCATCATTTGGAATATATCCCAGGAATGCAAGATTGATTTTACATATAAAAATCAATTGGTGTAATTTACCACATTAATAGATTAGTAGAGAAAAATCATGATAATTTGACAAAAGCACTTGACAAAATACAGTGCCAATTTATGATAAACTCTCAGCTGCCTTGGAAACTTTCTTACTTGAAAAATAATATTTACAAGAGACCTACAATCAACATCACACTTAAGATCAAATAAGACAAGGATATGTTCTGTCACTACTTCCATTCAACATTGTGTTGGTAGTGCTATGAGATAAGAGAAAGGAAGAAAAAAAATAGATTGGAAAGGAAAAAGTAAAACTGTCCTGTCCTTTTTTCACTCAGATAATTATGTATATAGAAACTCATAAGGAATCTAGAAAAAAAAATTCTAGATCTAGTAAGTAAATGTAACAGTATGGTCTGATACAAAGTCAGTATACAGAATTAATTGTATTTCTATATTGAACATTTAGAGAATGAAATTAAAAGTATTCCAGGGGAAAAGTGACTTTCAGGTTTGAGTTTTATAGCCCCAGGGTGTGTCATCAGTGATCTAGGCTTCTTTCTTTCTGTTCTACCATCCCAGACCGTGATCTATATCCTCACAGTTATCTCATAGTTTGTGATAGCTGTTGAGACTTCAGCTGTCATCATTATACTGTAGGCTGGAATAAGAAGAACAAATTGAAAAAAGAAAAAAATATTTTTTCAGGTCTCTCAGCTCTCTTTAAAAGAGCCTTCCTTGAAGTCCTATGCAACACTTCAACTTACAACTCATTAGTCACTGTTAAGTCTCACAGCCACACTGGGAAATGTAGTCTTTATCCTAGGTAGCAGTCTGCCCAGGTAAAAATCAGCAGTCTGATTTAAGGACAAAGGAGAGAATGGATATGGGGGATAGACAACATTCTCAGATAGAACCTACTTTACCTAGTCCTGTTAGATTTGGCTGTATATAAGAGAAAAATCCCACAACATTGGCTTTCAAAAAACGAAAATTTATTTTTGTCTTTTACTTAAAAATTATCCTGGGAAATAAAAATTTTAAAAGGTGGTAGTGGGATTTTGCTATACTAGGGTGTTTTTGTATTTGATTGCTCAATACGGAGGGAGTGTGGTATTTTGCTTTCCTTCAATATTTTATCTTACAAGCAGCTATATATGTCATATTTCCATTCTTCCTCAGAGACAATGGACCCCAAATAGCCTATGTACGGGACTTTAAGGCAAAGTTTCAGTATTTCCGGTTCTGGTGTCAGGTTAGTATTGGGTCTCTATTTCTATACTCCCTTTCTTTTGTTTTTGTTACTTATAGTCAGTGATTATGAAAATAATTAACTCATAGAAAAGCAGGTAAAATGGGAAACATCAGAATCTCTCCTATTTTTATTTTTTAATCCTCACTGGAGGACATTTTTTCCATTCATTTATATATTTTTTTTAGAGAGAGTGGAAGGGAGGGGAAGAGAAAAAGTGGGAGAAATATCGATGTGAGAGACACATCAATTGGTTGCCTCCTGCATGCGCCCCGACCAGGGCTGGGAATCAAACCTGCAACTGAGATATGTGTCCTTGACCAGAATTGAACCCAGGACCCTTTAGTCTGTTGGCCGAACTCGCTAGGGCTCTTTTTCCTATTTTTAAGGCAAAGAAATAGATCTATTAATTAGATGATTTGTGGCTTTTGTCCACAATAATAAATTTGAAACAATTCAAATAAGAAAACAGTGCTACTCTCTTCCCAGTAACCATTATGTTCAGATTGCAGAAATCCTCAAATGAGTTAAAACATCTTCTGATGTATAAATTATAACTGGTCCCTTTCATAGCTAGCATTTGCTAGATACATACATATATGTATTACTTTGATAGATACATATGTATGGTTATATTCAGAGCATTTTTCTTAGATGTGATCAGATATTTCTGATATATAAATATTTACTGAATTATTTCATTATGGGTTCTAAATAAAATTAATGTACTATTTAAAATAACTATGATGAATATTTTTAAACTTCAAACAATTAACTGGACAAGCAAGAGTAATCTGAATTAGTGTTTTGAAAATAAAATTAAAGATTTGACTCAGTAAGTAAGCTGTGTGCATATGAAATCTTGTTTTTCCTCTGTGTTTTATATATATTAAATGATATATAATTAGCATGAAGGCTTACAAATGCATGTTTAAACATTATTGAATATAGTGTCATATTCAGAGTCCACTTGTTTTTGTAAGCAAAAATAAAACTTTACCCTTTTGGTTTTGTGATAGGCCATTTTAAATGGTGAGAGTTGACTTAAGTCATTTTTATATTTCAGCAACTGGCCATGCCACAGCACATAAAGATTACAGTAACAAGAAAAACATTGTTTGAGGATTCCTTTCAACAGGTACTGTTTGATTCATACTCAATGGTTTGTCCCCTGGCTGCCAGCCCAAACCATCTTTTGGTGTTGGCAATTTAAACCGTTTGGAACTTTTTGAGTTGGAGCCTTGAATTTTAAGTCTAATCTCATTTCCAGTTACCTTAGTACTTAAAATTTAGGAACATTCAGATAGTTTTATATGTGTGTTTTGTATATGTGTATGTTTTGTACTTTTGAAATAATCAGAGTAACTTAATTAGTGAGTTTCAGGTTTCTATTTTTAAGCTAAGTGGTTGATTTGAAATAGACACTTAAGTAAGAAAATAGGCTTTTGGTAGACAAAAGTCTGGAAATATCTATATGAACATTGGATAGAAAAGAAGTGGGGAAGACTGTAGTTTTTATAGTTGTGTAATACTTGCATTTTTACAGTAAGCATGGTACTCCTGTAATTAAAATATTTTTATATAGGAAAGTGGTCATTAATTCCAATATTTAAAAAAAGATGTTTTCAGAAGTTGTCAATAAAACATACATATACACACACATACTCACATACACACACACACATACACACACACACACACAATAGAGGCCTGGTGCACGAAATTCGTGCGCAGGGGCGGGGGGGCTGTCCCTTAGCCCAGCCTACACCCTCTCGCAGTCCGGGACCCCTTGCTCCTTACAGCCCACCTGCACACTGCTCCTTACTGCTTGGCTTACTGCTCCTTAGCGCTGCCACAGAGCCAGCCGTGAGCCCAGCTTCTGGCTGAGCAGCGCTTCCCCTGTGGGAGCACACTGACCACCAAAGAACAGCTCCTGCGTTGAGCATCTGCCCCCTGGTGGTCAGTGCACATCATAGTGACTGGTTGTTCTGGTCATTCCGCCATAACAGTCACTTAGGCTTTTATTATATATATATATATATATATTTTTTTTTTTTTAAGAAAGAGAAAGAGGAAGGGAGAGGGCATAGAAAGATAGAGACCTTGATGAGAGAGACATCATTGATCGGCTGCCTCCAGCATGCCCCCTACTGGTAATGGAGCCCGCAACCCGGGCATGTGCCCTGACCTGGAATCGAACCAGAGACTTCTTGGTTCCTGGGTCGATGTTCAACCACAGAGCCACACTAGGTGGGCAACAAATTATTTTAGTTGTCTTAAGAACCGGAGTTAATTTATTATTTACCTTTATTTTGCAACTTTACTAACCAAATGCAACTAAATGTTAAGTGATTTTTTTTGTAGGGAAGATTAAATGATCAGTGAAAAAAATGTGTTAATATGAAAACATACAGTTAGTCCTTGTTTTATGATGTGGATGTGAGTCTTTATTATCAAGCCCCTGTGATAATTGTGATAGTTACAGCTTCAAGTGCCACACTGAGTGCAAAGGAAAAAGAGATTGTCTGAGATAGTTGACAGTAGCTGACTTCCTTTCAAAAATAGATACGTTGATTTCCTAATGGAACTTCAGTTATTCACATTGAAAGGGGAAAGCCAGTTGGCATCCTGCTAAGTAGGAACAGATAGCTTTTTAGCAGCAGAGCTAAGACTATTTAGAGAATTATGAGTGATTCCCTTAATCTGATGTGAGTTCCAAAGCCATTCACTACTCCAGTTGTTACCTTTCCCTAATTTTTATATTAATAGCTACTGTGTGTCACTGAGTATTCAGTCTCTGGTGAGCCACTTGCCTATAGCAATGCTGAAAAGATGCAAAACATGATTAAATGTCCTTTATCTTTTAGCTTCAGAAATCAGAGGCTTTTGCAGAATGACAGGCCAGATGGTGCTAAAATACTTGTTTAAAATTGTCATCTTATATTTGACATTTATTGAATTAAATATGAAATTTAAAACAAGAAAAAATTGATTACTTTGGAAGTGCGACAACTTTGATAGCAAAATTAGCATCAGATTTTTTTTGATAACTGTTGGATAAAGTTGTTTTGGGCAATAAGTGTTTTTATTAACATAGCATGACTACTTATGAGGGAAATTGAAGGATAAAATTTTTTTCCTTCATCTTAGGCTTTTGTTAAAGAATAATATTTAAAGATTTTTTTCCAGAGAACAGTGAATCCCCAGATATTAGACACAGGGAAAAGGAACAACCAGAATTTCCAGGAGAACAGTCTCAGGTTTGGAGGAAAGTCTCAAGAGACATCAGTGATAGCCCCTAGGGTTTGGGGAGCAGCCATGAAGACAAGGAATAGCCAGAGAGAGCAATTTTTAACCTTTTGTTTTGCATTGCTATATATCTAGCCTATAGTACTTATTGAATATTTGTCATAAACATATCATAAGCATTGCATTTTTTTGTTACATCTGAGATTTTCTTGTTTGAGTGGGATATGAATTCATAAAAGTGATATATCTGTTTTGTGGAAACTGAGAGAAGCCCTGGCATAAGCAAATTACTTACTGAGCCTCTTTAGAATTTAAATGTGAGTGTTCATTCATATCATTTCATAAAAATAGAGGCATTGTATCAACTTCTCTGTCTCTCCAGGCCCTGCCATTTTTCTTCTAAGAATAATAACATTTGTAATGTTCTACAGGCCCCATTTTGGCAGATAATAAAATTGTTTTACAGAGAAAGAACCCAAATGACCTATTTATTGTAGCTCAATAATGGTACTATCCTTCAAAGATGAAGATGATCTTATTATTAACTACTGTAGTGGGACACAAAATTTGAGTAGTTTTTCTAGGTATTTATAAGTTTCTACTGAGAATGTTTCCAAAGTTAACTTTATCCTCTCTGCAGCCACTGGTTTTCATTTCCAAGTTTGCCAATTAGCTATTATGTGTACCTTTTGGCTGTTAAACCCAAATTTACCAACACAGAACCATAAAAAGCACTTAACCTCTGACCAGGCCCACTGTTAACCGCTCTAAGCAAGTGAGAGAAGCAACTTTATAAGTGAATAGTAGGATCATTTACAAGAAAATTAATATGTATAAAGTGTATAAATATATATGAAACATTAATATATTTTGTGTAGGTGTGGTGTTGATTCTGTGTCAATGGGGAATTTAACCCTTTGAGTGCCAACCAATATCCTAGGAACTATGCTGAAATTGCCAAGGCATTTTTGCTGATTTTACAGCAGTTTAGGAAAAAAATTATGAATCGCAAGTAAATGAAGTTACATATTCAAAAACTTAAGGAAACCTTTACTACATTTGTTTTCATCTTTGACATATATTGTTTGCTGATTGTATTATAAAATACTAGTAGAAAAAAAAAATTGAACAAAACATACAATGTTAAAATAAAGCACTCCCGGCACTTTTGGCGAAAGACAGGAGGAGCACGATTGCGCTCCCCGGCACTCTAGGGGTTAAGTTACCTATGATGAAGGAGATTTCGAACCTAGAAGTGGTAGAATGGTGTTTTAACAACTACTTTTAGCAGTTCTTTTACTTTATTGTTTTGTAGATAATGAGCTTCAGTCCCCAAGATCTGCGAAGACGTTTGTGGGTGATTTTTCCAGGAGAAGAAGGTTTAGATTATGGAGGTGTAGCAAGGTAGTGATAATATGAATACTCAGAACTTAGTTCCTTTCCTCCAAAGGTATCATTACACTTTGCTTGCAAGTATTATTTTCTCAATCTTATATTTCAGGAAAATGAAATGTAGGGAATTATTGTACCTTTATTATGCTGCAGCTGTAGAATTTCAACAACATTAATTCAGAAGGTAACTCTGAGATACTGCCAGTTGGTTTCACCCATATCACTCATTTAGTCCTCAGAGTAACGCTGTGAGGTAGAATTTTACAGGTAATAATGAAGTTGAGACTCACCTAAGGCACATAATTAAGTTGTGCAGCTTGGATGCAAGCTTTGTATCACAACCAGAAGCCAGTGTTACTACTACCTCATGCCTGTTCCTATAGTGATCAGGTCATTTTCCCCATCACAGATTAATGGATACAGATAATAGTCACTCAGTTTCCAACTCAGGATAATATATCTGTTTTGAGATAGAAGACTGTATGTATAAAATAGGAGTTGAAATCTTTAAATCTGCTTTCTTAATAATGGAGCTTCCAGTCAAATCCTAGTAGGTAGACTGAAGCAAGAAATTGCTTTGCTTATCCCCTACAGTATATCATATCAGTTTAAAAATTTGCATAGCAGTAGCACTGTGGAAAGGCAAGGACTTTGGTGTCAGAACTGGATTTGAGTCCTTTTTCTGCACTCATTAATATGACCTGGGGCAAATATTTTTATCTGTAAAATGACCTAGAGTGCTCACTGATTGGTGGCTACAATTTAGTAGTTTTTTATTTATCACACTTCAAAGTGTTTGAAGTACCCACAGGTAAATAATAAATATGAGTAGAAACATTTAATTTTGTATGGGTTAAGGATAATTTAGGAAGAGGGCAATTTTTTATTCTTAATTAGAACATGAACTAGCATTAAAGTATAAGCAGAGACCATGAAACTAACAGAAAAGAAATCTCAGACACAAGATTATATCACATGTATTGCCCCAGATCTGCTTTGCCTACTGTTCTATCAGACCTACTTACATTACATAATTAGTACCAATAATCTTATGTTAATATTGGTTGGTATTTTCACAGCATTTGCATTTGAGTTTCTCAGAGCATTTTTCTAATGAATGAGTGGCTTGAATTAAGTGTTTCATTGCCTCTGTGAAATTGGATTGTTTTTCATACGTATTTGTCTAGGATTTAGAGAGCAATGGTACTTGATGGGGATCACTATGGGACTTAGAAATCAATGGAATAATATTAGACTCACTTCAGCTGCTCTAACCACATGGGTCAATTGATGAAGTTTAAACTTGGCTATGTATAGTATTTTATTGATCCTAAGACTAACATTTTCATATTTTAACATCTCTGAAATTGGGATATGTATCACAATTATAATTGGGAATAAAGTTTTAGTAGTTGTTTTAAAGTTGATGGTGTCTTAAATTCTTTGAAATATAATAATAAGCAGTATATAAATATCATCTCTGTGAAATAGATGTCAGAGTGAACAGAAGCAGTAAAATCAACATGGTAGTTTAGGAAATTATCACCAGCTGAAGAGTATAAATTTCTAACTTTGTAGCACTGCCCTTTGATTTGTTGGCATAGTTACTTACACAATTTTTCACCCAAAATTTTCTTTTTATTTCAGGGAATGGTTCTTTCTTTTGTCACATGAAGTGCTGAACCCAATGTATTGCCTGTTTGAATATGCAGGGAAGGATAACTACTGCTTGCAGATAAACCCCGCTTCTTATATCAATCCAGATCACCTGAAATATTTTCGTTTTATTGGCAGGTTTATTGCCATGGTAAGTACAGGAGGAGAACTGTGTGTACTTTGCTAATTCAGCAATACTAAAGCATTGTTCTTTAACTTTCTCATTGGAAATTTTCTCATCACTAAGACATTTCTAAGATTGGGTTTGTTATATTTGCCCTTTTTCTAGAAATGTGTCATAAGAAATCATGTAACAGGGGAGCCCTTTTTAAATGAAGAACTCACCTAGCATTCTGAAATACAATGGATATCATAAAATTATCTTAAATGGTATTGTTTGTTTCTTTCATAGGCTCTGTTCCATGGGAAATTCATTGATACAGGTTTTTCCTTGCCATTCTACAAGCGTATCTTGAACAAACCAGTTGGACTCAAGGATTTAGAATCTATTGATCCAGAATTTTACAATTCTCTCATCTGGGTTAAGTAAGTTTGTTTCCGTTTATTTTATCAAAATATAATCTATATACTTTCATTATAGTGTTGATATCTAAACTTTAACCAGTTAACTGCCATGATATTTTGAATTTAAAAAGGTCCACTGCTTGTGTCTGTGGGCACTTATGGCGTACAAAATAAACATGTAGTTAGTTTATTGAATTTAAGTGGTCTACATTAAATGTCATTATTCAGTATGATAAATTTTAAAGAAATAATACCCAAGATATTCAGCAAAAATTATGACTTGAGAGCATAATTTTTTATTTTTCTTATTTTTATATTATAATTTAATAGTAATTATTTAAGACCATAGTCCTTTAGTTAAAAACTTTTTATATATTTGGATTAGTATAACAAGTAGTGTTAATTTCATTTGTGCAGAGAAAACAATATTGAGGAATGTGGTTTGGAAATGTACTTCTCCGTCGATAAAGAAATTTTAGGTGAAATCAAGAGTCATGATTTGAAACCCAATGGTGGCAATATTCTTGTAACAGAAGAAAATAAAGAGGAATATATCAGGTGAGAGAGAATGTTCCTTTTGACATAGTTTGGCCCTTCTATTGGACTACAGCACGTTGATAATTGCCTAGTAATCCTAATGGACAATATTTTAGAAAATAATTTTTTTGCTTTTTAACTAATCATTATAAGAACTGATCTTACATTATTAAGAACCTGAATGATCACTTTTTTTACCTTATAAGTGTTGAGAGAGGAACAAGAAAAGTGCTATGGGAAGTCAAAAGAGGGAGACATCATTTCATCTAGTTGTAATCATCGAGTAAGTAGTCGATGATTTTTCCGTTGAGCCTTTCAGTTGTGTAGAAATCAGAGTAAAAGTTATGAGCAGATGCTCTAACCAGTTTTGCTCAGTGGATAGAGCATCAGCTGTGGACTGAAAGATCCCAGGTTCGATTCTGGTCAAGGGCATGTACCTTGGTTGGGGGCACATCCCCAGTAGGAGGTGTGCAGGAAGCAGCTGATCGATGTTTCTTTCTCATCAATGTTTCTAACTCTCTATCCCTTTCTCTTCCTCTCTGTAAAAAAATAAAAAATAAGATAAAAAAGTTATGAGCAGAGAGATGGAAGCTGGAAAGCACAAATCACAGACAGTATCAGGGAAGAATATCCATGGTTTGTGAGGTATTATCAGGCAGCTCAGAGTTGATAACCCATTCTGCCATGTCCTGCATTTCAGAAACCAAAGAAAATGAAAAATCTTTGGAAGATGTGGAGGCTAATAAGTTATGATAACCCTTAAGAGAATACTTATTACAGTTATCCAGGTGGTAGATTGGAAACCAGATTATAAGAAATTAGGAGTAAATTCAGTAGACAGTCTAAATTTCGTCTTCAGCAAATCTGGCAACAAAAAAATGAGAGAGGTAGGACAGATTTTTGTGGAGGCAGCAAGGTAGAGTGACTATCCTGCAGGTAATTCAAACTAAACCTTACAAGAAATTAGTGTAGTGGGTACTAATGGGGTTTTTACCACCTTGCTGGTATATTTTCAACTTAACCAGAATTTTGAAGTTTATAAAATGATAGAAAATAATTTTGGCTATAGTACAACTTTCACTTTTTCTCCAAAAGTGGGAATTTTAATGGTAGAGGTAGTGCTAGATAACTCTTTTAAGTACCAATTCCATACTCACTGTGCCATGTAACATGTCATTGATAAGCATCTCAAATTTATATGCAGATATTTTCATGGGGTATTTGTAAGATCTGATAAAATTTATAAGTAAAATGATGGTTTTTAGTATGTCCTCTGCATTGGTTCAGACTTTTAGTCTCAAGAGTCTTTAGTTCATTCACATATTCTCAACACCAATTCAGGGTTAGATTTCACATATGTGCTTCTTCTTGAGTTCTAGTTTCTGGGTATCTTGCCTGCTTTTCTACTTTTTAAATATTAATATATTCATTCCAGCTTTCTTAATTTTTTAAAATATATTTTTATTGCCATAACCGGTTTGGCTCAGTGGATAGAGCATCGGCCTGCAGACTGAAAGGTCCCGGGTTCGATTCCGGTCAAGGGCATGTACCTTGGTTGCGAGCACATCCCCAGTAGGAGGTGTGCAGGAGGTGGCTGGTTGATGTTTCTCTCTCATCGATGTTTCTGACTCTCTATCCCTCTCCCTTCCTCTCTGTAAAAAATCAATAAAATATATATATAAAAATATATATATATATATATTTTTTTTATTGATTTCAGAGAGGAAGGGATAGAGAGATAGAAACATCAATGATGAGAGAGAATCATTGATCGGCTGCCTCCTGCATGCCCCTATTGAGGGTCAAGCCTGTAACCTGAGCCTGTGCTCTGACTAGGAATCGAACAGTGACCTCCTGATTCATAGGTTGGTGCTCAACCATTGAGCTGAGCCACACTAGTCAGGCCAGCTTTCTTATAATTAGTATTTGCATGGTATATTTTCCTCCCATGTCTTTGTCTTTAAAATATGTTTCTTAGCAGCATGTTTCTGGATCTTGCTATTTTTATCTAGTTTGAACATCTTTATTTTTTACTTTTTAATTGCACAGTTCAGTACATTTACATTTCATTTTGTTATTGATGATTGGACTTAAGTCTGCCACCTTGCTATTTGTTTCTTATTTTCCCCAGTTTTCTTTATTCCTCCTTTTCTGCCTTCTTTTGAATTAATAGAATAATTTTTACTCTTCTTTTTTTAATCTCTCCTGGTTAACTATACCTCTAATTTTCTTAGTGAGTACTCTAATGATTATCTATATATATAAAAGGCTCAGTGTCCATCTGTGCAACTGGTAGCTATGACACGCACTGACCACCAGGGGGCAGAGGCTTAATGCAGAAGCTGCCATGATGTGCACTGGCCATTTAAAAATAAACTGCACCATGGACCTGGCGCTGACAAACCAACACTCGGCTTCCCCCAAGTAGGACACAAGCCCTGCCACCACCCCAGAGCAACACCCCACAAAATCACAGCCGACACTGCCAAAACCCCATGGTGCAAAATGCGGTCCATAGCCCAGCCCAACCTAGAAATGGTTGCTGTGGATGCCGGGTGATGATGTCACGCAGCAACACCCAACTTCCTCTCCGCAGCATCTAGCCTCCTTGGAGTGTCTTCTGCCCAGGAACCTGACTTGCTTTATAGCCAGGTGCAAACATTTTACAGTTTAACCAAATATCTGTGAAGCGTTTTCCCGTGCCTCATCTCATTTGATCCTCACAGAAGTCCTGGAGTAGGTAGATAGGAGACTTGGTGGAATCCTGTTTTCTTTTCATTAGTGGGAAAATGGAGATTTAGAAAGTTTAGAAACTTGACCCGAATGAAAAGAAGTAAGATATGGTGGACCTTGAAAATGATTTCAGGTTTTCTCACTGCGCAGAATATGGTCAAATACTGCTGCAGTTAAATATTTTACCCTTTGTTCTCCCTGCGTGATCTACCATAATAATCTGCTTCATGTTGATATTTATTACTGTGTTGCTGACAGTTACCTGAAAGAGAAGTTGGGGTTCCTCACTGGGCTGGAAAAAGTTTAGCTACATCAGATAGCAGGTCTAATTAAACAAGTTTATTCTATATCTATAAAAGGCTAAGTTGACTTGTGCATGCACGATTACATATAAAGCTCTCACTGGCACCAATCGCACGCATGTGTTTTGATCTGTCATTGTCGATCGTGAATTTGGTTGACACTTCTATTATAGAGAAAGGGCGAATAGCAATATTAAAATATTTCTTCTAATTAATTTCCTTTCAGTGTGCATGAATCCGTGCACCGGGACATTAGTAATGATATAAATCCTTAACTTATCACTTATAATTAACATTTTATTAACATTAATATATAGTAATATAACATAATTAATATCACACTACAACTTATACCAGATAAGAGGCTCATAATAGTATAATTCCATTTATCTCACTCCAGCCATTTGTGCTTTTTGTTGTCATATTTTATTTCTTATGTTATAAACCCATAATTATTATTGTTCTTATTATTAGTCTCGCTTTAAGCAATCAATAGATTTTTAATGAAATCAAGAAAAATTACTTTTTTATATTTACTAACATTACCGTTTATGGTTCTCTTCATTTCTTCCCACAGATCTATTTTTCCATATAGGATAATTTCCTTTCAGCTTTAAAAACTTTCTTTTCCATTTATCTTAATGTGTACCTGTTGGCAATAAATTCTTGTAGATTTTACTGAAAACATGTTTATGTCACCTTCAGTTTCAAAGGATATTTTCACAAGATTCAGAATTCTAGGTTTATAGGATTTTATTTCCTCTTTTTTTTTAGCACTTCCAATAATGTCATTTTATTGTTGGCTTCTGGTGTTTTTTATGTAAGCCATTGTTTTTCTGAATGAAATGTGTTTTTTCTGTGACTTTTTAAGATTTTCTCTTTAATTTTGGTTTTTAGCATTTTGACTCTGATCTAAATGTGATTTGACTCTGATCTAAATCGCACGTGCAAGCTCAGAAAAGCCAAGCAGGATATGTATGCTTGGCTTTTCTGAGCTTGTGTGTGTGATTGATGCCATTTATTTCAGCAGTTGGAGACTATTTTGAGGCTTTATCTCAGTGGATCATCCTTTTGCTTGCTTACCTCTGTACATACATCAGAGACCTCAGTTACATATTTATTTAACTTTTGATATCATACTATGGTTCTCAGATGCTGTATATTATTTTAGAGAGAAAGAGAAAGGAATAGAAACATTGATGAGAGAGAAACATCCATTGGTTGCCTCCTGCAAGCCCCTTCTGGGGATTGAGCCCACAACCAGGGCATGTGCCCTGACTGGGAATCAAACCTGTGACATCATGGTTCATGGGCTGATGCTCAACCACTGAGCCACACTGGCCAGACCTGTATATATTTTTTATATTCTCTGTCCTTCAGTTTGGATCATTTTGATTGATCTGCCTTTGAATTTACTTCTCTTAAACTTACCAATGAAATTTTAATTTCAGATATTCTGTAATTTCCATTTGGTTCTTTTAAGAGTTTCTCTGCTGCCCTGGCTGGTGTGGCTGTTGGTTGGAATGTCACCATGTACACCAAAAGGGGCGGGTTTGATTCATGTTCAGGATACATACCCAGATTGCGGGTTCAATCCCTAGTCGGGATACATGGTTGATGTTTTTCTTACACCCATGTTTTTCTCTTTCTCTCTCTCCTTCTTTCCCTCCCTTTTTCTTTCTAAGATCAATTTTTTTAAGTGTTTCTCTGCTGAGAATCTCCATCTCGTTACTAATTTTTTTCTATCTTGTTCTATAAATTCTTTAATATGAAGTCTTTGCTGACTTCAACATTAGGTCATCCGTGTGCTTTATTCTATAGAGTTTTTTCTCTTGATTATGGGTCACATTTTTCTTCTTTGCATATGTAGTCATTTTTTTTAAAAAAATATATTTTATTGATTTTTTTACAGAGAGGAAGGGAGAGAGATAGAGAGTTAGAAACATCGATGAGAGAGAAACATCGATCAGCTGCCTCCTGCACATCTCCCACTGGGAATGTGCCCGCAACCCAGGTACATGCCCTTGACCGGAATCAAACCCGGGACCCCTCAGTCCGCAAGCCGACGCTCTATCCACTGAGCCAAACCGGCTTCGGCATGTAGTCATTTTTTAAATCATTTTTTATTTTTTAATTACAGTTGACATTCAGTATTATATTAGTTTCAAGTGTACACTCCAGTGATTAGACATTATATAACTTAGAAAGTGGTCAGATGACCCAATAGATCTCATACCCAGCTGACACCATACATAGTTATTAGAATATTATTGACTGTATTCCCAATGCTGTACTTTACATTCCCATTACTATTAGGTAACTACCAATTTCAACTTAATTCCTTCACCTTTTTCACCCATCTTCTCAACCGCCCCCCCCCCCCAAATCTGGCAACCATCAAAATGTTCTCTACCTCTTCCTTTCTCTCTGAAATCAATAAAAATATTTTTTCCTCAACGTTTATAATTGTAATTACCAGAAGAATTATTCTAATACAACCAACACTTCCATTTTCCAAAATTTTAGAGTTTTTAGGAAACTTTTGGATTTTAGTTGCCTTTACTTATCAAGTAATCAAATACCTAAAATAAGCATTTGTTTGCTCATTAAATTTTTTATTTTTAAAATAGCTTTTTATTGATTTTAGAGAGGGAGAGAGAGATAGAAACATCAATGATGACCATAATGCAAGGCTTTTCTAAATAAATATACCTTAAGTCCTTGGGGGGGTTGGGGGGAAGAAACATCAGTGATGAGAGAGAATCATTGATTGGCTGCCTCCTGCATGCGCCACACTGGGGATCAAGCCCACAACCTGAGCATGTGCCCTGACCAGGAATCAAACTGGGACTTCCTGGTTTATAGGTCAGTGCTCAACCACTGAGCCATGCCAGCCAGGCACTCATTAAATTTTTTAAAATAAATATTCTGTAATAAAATGGAAAAACACAGTTTATATTTATTGTGATTTTTAACTTTCTTCTATGTCTTAGCTATGTAACTATGTAGATGAAGTTTAGAAGACAGTCGAAATTGTAATCTAGAATATTTAGTAGAGAGGAATTTTCATTAAAAATAATTTTTATTCGAAAAATTGCAAGGGAAAACCTATGTTTTAAAAGAAGCTTAAGAGACTTTTGCAATGTATGAACTTTATTTAGATTCTGATCTTAGCAATATATTAAAATGGAATCATTCAGTAGAATTTAAGCAATGAATATTTGATATAAAGTAATTATTCACTTTTTTGTGTGATAATAGAACTGTGGTTATGTGGGTGTTTTTTTTTTTAACATATTTGTATTGATTTCAAAGAGGAAGGGAGAGGGGAGAGATAGGAACATCAATGATGAGATAGAATCATTGGTTGGCTGCCTCCTGTACCCTCCTTCCTGGGGATTGAGCCTATAACCCAGCCATGTGCCCTTGACCAGAATCAAACTCGGGACCCTTCAGTCCTCAGGCCAACATTCTATCCACTGAGCCAAATCAGCTAGCGCATGGTTATGTTTTTTAGAAAGAGACCTCATCTTGTAGAGAGAGATACTAAAATATTTATGTTTAAAATGAAATTATATTTAGAGTATGGGTAATGGTGTAATGAAATAAGATTGGCATTGTATTGAAACTGGAATATCTATATTTGGGGTTCATCATATTCTTTCATATATGGAGGTTTTCATAATAGTAAAGCTTTTTAAAATTATTTTTGTACTCGGAATTTAAATGTAACATCTAAACTTCCTGATAGTTTTTTTTAATATTTATTTACCAGAATGGTAGCTGAATGGAGATTGTCTCGAGGTGTTGAAGAACAGACGCAAGCTTTCTTTGAGGGTTTCAATGAAATTCTTCCCCAGCAGTATTTGCAGTACTTTGATGCAAAGGAGTTAGAGGTAATAAGTTTTTCTTCTTTCCTTTGCAGCATGCTGATAAATAATGCCTTCAGTTGTCTGCTTTCAACTCACTTTCCAGTGGCAATATTTTTTATGTAGGCAGGATGTTTAAAATCATATAAAAGAATTAACAAAAAAAACAAAAAAAAAGGATTACTATCAGAACCTCTCTACAATGAATGGCTTATTTACCTGAATCTGTGTATATATGACACATCAGAAACTCAACCGTTCAGAGTATTATAGATACAGTTATTGATACATAGTTACAATCCATAGCCTCTTGATTAATTTTTTTTGAATGTTGTTTAATATTCGTTCTTATCTATGTCTAGCATTATGATACAGGTTGTACACTTACCTATAGAAATCATTTGTCTTTTTCATCCCAAAAGGTCCTTTTATGTGGAATGCAAGAGATTGATTTGAATGACTGGCAAAGACATACCATCTACCGTCATTATACTAGGACAAGCAAACAAATAATGTGGTTTTGGCAGGTTTGTCTCACTTTATTTCTATTGACAAACACACCGTAATTTTTTAGAAATGTGTTTACTATATATGAAAATAAGTTACATAAAAAAAATGTATCAGTATCTTCAGACCCCTGGTTCCATCCTATGCATTATAATAAATGAACATGGTTTATGGCACCATCCTTTTAAGACTATTGCCAAGTAAGCTATACACACCTTTCACCTTTGCTCAGAGTATAACTCCAGATGATAAGATGCTTTGGAATTTTATAGAACTGTCTAAAGTATGGTTTTCATTATTCATACCTCATTAAGAATTACATAATGTTTAGAAGGCAAACTTAAGAAAGAGACGTGGTTTGGAATCATACTGGTGTCTCTTCAGAAAAATGTCGGTTACAGCACATAAAAAGATTTTCAACATTACTAATAATTAGGAAAGTGCATATCAAAATCACAAGGAGATATCATTTCACACCCGTTAGGGTGGCTATTATGAAAGGGAAAAAACAATCATCCTTGGTGAGGAGGTGGAGAAATTAGAACTTTCTGCATTGCTGCTGTGAATATGAAATGTACACCACTGTGGCAAAGTTCAGTGGTTTCTCAAAAAGTTAAACATAGAAGTAATATATGATCCTGGTTGAAGTTTCATTCCATATACCAAAAGGTGGCTGGTTCGGTTCCCAGTCAGGGCACATACCTAGGCTGTGGGCTCGATCTCCAGTTAGGGCAAATATGGGAGGCAACTAATCAATGTTTCTCTCTGTATTTAATGTTCTCTTCCTCCCTTTTTTTCTCTCTCGCAAATCAATGGACATATCCTAGGTTGTGGATTAAAAAAAAAAGAATTAACATATGATCCGGCAATTCTACTCCTAGGTATACCCAAAAGAATTGAGAGCAGGGACTCAGATACTTGTATACCTATGTTCATAACTATATTCACAGTAGCCAAAAGGTGGAAGCAATCTAAGTGTCCATCAACAGATGAATGGATAAACAAATTGTGGTATATACATACAAAGGAATATTATCCAGCCTTAAAAAAAAAAAAAAAAAAAAAAAAAAAAAAAAGGAAATTCTGCCCTAGCCACTTTGGCTCAGTGCATAGAGCCTTGGCCTGTGGACCAAAGGGTCCCAGGTTTGATTCCAATTGAGGGGTATGTACTTCGGTTGCAGGCTCTTCCCCAGCCCAGGCCCTGGTTGGGCGTGTGCAGGATGCAACCAATCGAGGTGTTTCTCTCACATCAATGTTTCTGTCTTTCCCTCTCTCTTCCACTATCTCTAAAAAAGATCAATGGAAAAATATCCTTGGGTGAGAATTAACAAAAAAACAAAAAAAAAAGGAAATCCTGACATAGGCTACAACATGGATAAATCTTGAGGATATTATGCTAAGTGAAATAAGCCAGCCACAAAAGGACAAATATTGTATGATTCCACTTACATGTGGTACCTAGATTAGGCAAATTCATAGAAACAAAGTAGAATAGAGGTTACCAGGGGCTGGGGAGGGGAACTGAGGCAGTGGGAAGATAAGTTTAATGCATTTAGAGTTTTTGTTTGGGATGATAAAAAAAAAATGTTCTGGAAACGGTGATAATTACATAACAGAGTTAATGTACTTAATGCCATTGAATTGTACACTTAAATAGTAAATATTTATGTTATATATATTGTACCACAATAAAAAAAATTTTTTTAGCCCTAGCCAGTGTTGCTCAGTTGGTTAGAGCGTTGTCCCATACACTGAAAGGTGGCAGGTTCGATTCCCAGTCAGGGTGTATGCCTAGGTTGTGGGTTCAATCTCTAGTTGGGGTGCGTATCAGAGGCAGCCAGTGTTTCACTCTCAAATCAATGTTTCTCCCTCTCTCACCTCCCCCTTCCTCTCTAAAATCAATAAAAAACATTTAAAATTAAAAAAAAAAATTTAATTTCTGCTATTTACTTAGTCATAAGAAATGCAGATTAACTGAGCTTCTGTAACAAATAGGATTTGTATTTTAAAACACTTGACAGTAGTACAATAAGATATTTATCATTTTTTAAAAAACATGTTTTTATTGATTTTTAGACAAGGGACAGGGAGAGAGAAACATCGATGTGAGAAAAATCGATCAGTTGCCTCTCCAGTGCACCCTGACCAGGGATTAAACTAGCAATCTTTTGGTGCAGAGGACAATGTTCAACTGAGCCACACAGGCCAAGGCAGATAAAAATTATTCTTGACCAAAAAAATATTTGGCTGAGCCATAATACCTGTGCTACAAGATGAAAGCACCCTCCAGAAACCTAATACTTTTAATCAGAGTTATTATTTAGGAGTTAAAAGCTATATAATTTTGGTAACACTTAACTGTACCTTAAAACCTAAAGAACATCGAGAAAAGGAGGTTATTAGGGTAAATCTGGATCAGAATTCTGTGAGTTTGATTTCACTTGTTCATAAATTCAAAAGTCTATTCTGCCTCAAACTCTGTGTCCTATGTAATGAATATCCTATAGGGCAGGCAGATGTGGGGTGGGGAAGGAGATGCTGCCCTAGAGCTGATCTTGAAACTACATGAGTAGGGAGCTCTTGGGCCCAGGGCACCCTCTTTTTCTGTCTCCCCTAAGGATGTGGTCCTAAGATTTACATAGGGGAAGGCTGGTGGGTCTTTGACAAACATGGAGAAGGTCCTCCATCCACAGTAGCGGATACAGTCATTACTATCTCGTGCATTTGACACTGGGAGTTCATTTAAGATTTTTCTTGTGATTCCCAATCAGGGCAAATGCCCAGGTTACAAGCTTGATCCCTTACAGGGGCATGTAGGAGGCAGCTGGTTGATATTTCTATTTCTCCCTCCCCCTTCCTGTCTAAAATCAGTAAAAACATTTTTTTTTTTTAAAAAAGATTTTCCTTGTTTATTATGTTAAACATATGACCTATATTTCTCCTTAAATGTGCTTTAAACAGTTTGTTAAAGAAATTGATAATGAGAAGAGAATGAGACTTCTACAGTTTGTTACTGGAACCTGCCGATTACCAGTTGGAGGATTTGCTGACCTCATGGGTATGTATATAGGATTACTTTTCCTATAGAAAAAATTATCACACTGCTGTTACATCATTGTGTATACAACTTATCAGAAATAAAAATAAGTGTAGCCATTTTCTTAAATAGTCGTAGTTAACCTGGATTTGTCTAAACTTTTAAAATCACTTTGTAATTCTTACCTGGAAATTTTAAGCCCTTCAACTAGACCCTACATTTTAACTTAGGATAGCAGTCTTCTATTTGTAAATCTGTTTGTTCATTCAGTCATTTGGCCACCATTTTTGTCTCTCCTATGAGCCAGGCACTGTTGGTTGTATTATACTATATTTTTAATGATGTGTTTACCACTCTTCCCTGTTATACCTGGAACTCCTTAAGATATAGGTCCATACCTTCATCTTTTTATTTCTGGCACCAAGCACAGTACTTATCACATAGTAGTCACTGATTAAAGTGTGTTGTTTTGAAATGAATAACCATGAGAATATTTATTTTGCAACTAGATAATAAAGTAGATTCAAGTCTTCCTTTAACACCAATGTTGTGTCAAGTACCATAGGAGGATAGAAGAGAAGTTGTGATCCCTAAGCCTGCTTCAGCTGAAGCAGAGGGTCAGAATTAAAAGAACTAGGCAATTTTGGGAACCAGTTTAAATGCCTTTAAAAGCCAGACCAAAATAATTTGGACATTACTCTGAGGGTATTAGAAGTTATGGAAACTTTTTGAAAAGAGGAAACTTGCTGAAACTGCATTTTAGGAAGATTTGACGAAAAAGCAGAGCATGCATTAAAAGATAGGGAGAGCCCTAGCTGTTGTGGATGAGTGTTTGAGCATCAGCCTATGAACCAGGAGGTCACGGTTTCGATTCCCTATCAGAATTGTGGGCTCAATCCCCAGTAGGCAGTGTGCAGGAGGCAACCGATCAATAATTCTCTCTCATCAATATTTCTGTCTGTCTTTTCCTCTCCCCTTCTCTTTGAAATGAATAAAAAAAATATTTTAAAAAATAATAATAAACTATTTTTTAAAAAAGAAAAAGATAGGGAAGAGCCTGGAGGTAGGAAGAAAGTATTAGAGCAATGATGAGAAACTGATCTTAAGCGATGAAAGTAGAAATAGAAAAGAGGAGATAAATGCTAGAGAAGTTCCAAAAGTAGAAACTGTACTCAATTAAAAGATGAGATAAGAAGAAAGAATGTCAAAGATAATATGTTATGAAATACGGAGAAATGGAGAAACTGTGACATGTAGAGAACATGGTTTGAAAGTGTTAGGGAGGGCAATGAGTTGCTTACAGTCTGCTGAGTTTAAGGTGATTGCCAGACAACCAAGTAGAAAATATTCAGGGGGTGGGGACTCTTGCACTCATGCACATCTTTTTGGGACACCCTATATTTCTGAGCCTCTCCCCCCAAATTTTTTATTCAACTTAGTAGGTTTGGGATAGGGTCTGTAGTTTTGTAATTTTAACAGTTTCCCTGGTGATGCTGATATGATGCTGCTACATTGGGGATCACAATTTGAGAACCATTGTATTATTTAACTGTTGATGGTTTCACTATGTTTTAGGGAGCAATGGACCTCAAAAATTCTGCATTGAAAAAGTTGGGAAAGAAAATTGGTTACCCAGAAGTCATACCTGGTAAGTAAAATCAGAAAAAGTAGAGAAAACAGCCTTTTCCAGTTGTTCTGTAGATATTAAAGCCTATTAGAAATGAAATATTTTCCCCATTGTATTGAATTATTTTTAACAACTTTTTTGAGGCATAATTTACTATAAAACTTACCCATTTGATTCAGTGATATTTAGTAGATTTACAGACTAGTAACCATCACTACGATCCAGTATTAATGTATTTTCATTACCCCCAAACAATTTGCCCATTTCCAGTCAATCCCTTTTCCCACCTCTGAGTTGTTTTTTAAATCTGATAGTTAGAAAACTTTTACCTTTTCTCTGACGGCACAGAAAGAAATCAATTCTAGATAGCTGTTGGGAGAACCACTTTCTAACATAGTGAACAGAAATGTTATTTTCTCATAATTGCCATTTAACCACATTTCCAAAAATGTACAAAACTAAAAACCAACTGTAATCTTAATTAAAATATATGTTGGAATTCGACCGAAAGCTCAGAAATACTTTGACTTTATTTTGTGAGACATTTCTGTGGTTATATGTGGACTTCGATGGATAGTCCTTTATTTTCCCCATCTGTCCTTTTTTTTTAAAATATATTTTATTGATTTTTTACAGAGAGGAAGGGAGAGAGAGATAGAGAGTTAGAAACATCGATGAGAGAGAAACATCAATCAGCTGCCTCCTGCACATCTCCTACTGGGGATGTGCCTGCAACCCAGGTACATGCCCCTGACTGGAATCAAGCCTGGGACCTTTCAGTCCGCAGGCCGACGCTCTATCCACTGAGCCAAACCGGTTTTGGCCCCATCTGTCCTTTTTAATTGTTTTATTGTTTGTTCCTTTACATTTTCATACACATATGTGTGGTTTTTAAAAAAAATAACTTGCCCTGGCTGGTTTGGCTCAGTGGATAGAGCGTCGGCCTGCGGACTGAAGGGTCCCGGGTTCGGTTCCAGTCGAGGGCATGTACCTTGGTTGCAGGCACATCCCCAGTGGTGGGTATGCAGGAGGCAGCTGATCAATGACTCTCTCTCATCGATGTTTCTAACTCTCTATCCCTCTCCCTTCCTCTCTGTAAAAAATCAATAAAATAAAATAAAATTAAAAAAAAATAAAAATAACAACTTGACCCATTTGTTGAAAATCAATTGACGATAAATACACTGGCTTATTTCTGGATTCTCAATTCTATTTCCATTGATCTGTATGTATATCCATAATGGCAGTACCACATTATCTTCATTATTCTAGCTTTGTAGTAAGTTTTGAATTTAGGAAGTATGTGTCTTCCAATATTTTCAAGATTGTTTTGGCTATTCTGGGTCCTTTGGATTTTCATGTGAATTTTAGGATCAGCTTGTCCATTTCAGCAAAGAGGTCAGTTGGGATGTTGATACAAATCACTTTGAATTTGTAGATCAGTTTGGGGGAATATTGCCATCTTAACAATATTTTGTCTTCCTATCAATGCACATGGATGGGATATCTTTCAAGACTATTTATTTAGGTCTTTTTAATTTATTTCAACAATGTTTTATATTTTTCCATTATACAAGCCTTGAGTTTCTTCTGTTAAATTTCTTAAGTATTTTATTCTTTAAAAAATGTGTGTGTGTGTATATACATACATATATACACACACATACATATATATTATTATTTTATTGATTTCAGAGAGGAAGGAAGAGGGAGAGAGAGATATAAACATCAGTGATGAGAGAGAATCATTGATTGGCTGCCTCCTGCACACCCCACATGGTATTGAGCCTACAACCCAAGCTGCAACCAGGCATGTGCCCTGACCAGGAATTGAACCGTGACTTCCTGGCTTACAGGTCAATGGTCAACCCCTGAACCACATCAGCCAAGCTATATTTTATCCTTTTTGAAGTTAGTATGAATGGGATTGTTTTTTCAGTTTCATTTTAGATTTTTTTTTATTGCTAGTGTATAAAAATACAGTTTATTTTTGTATACTTATCTTGTACACGTGTTTTGAATTGACCTCTTGTCCCTTTCTTTTTAATTTCGAAACTTGGACAGACTGTGCCATTACACTGTTGTGAACAGCTTATCTTAGTCACACATGAGAACTAGCCTCATTATGTTATCAAGTTCCATGTTTCCATTTGTGAGAACTAACAGAAGTAATAATTGTAAATTTATTTGTCCTTTGTGGATAGTATTATTTCTTCTTTTGCCAGATGTTTAGGCCTTATCCTAAAAATATGGCAGAGGGCTGAGGCTTCAGAGCAGCTTCATTACTTGTTACCTTGTGAATGTGATAATAATACAGCCCAAAATTAGAAGATGCCCTTTAAAAACTCAACAGCTAAGAATAGGACAGAGATGGTCATTCAATAGGGGCAGAATATTAGATATTAGAGAAGAACATTATTTCTTACTCTTAAAGTGGTAAATTTAAACCCTTTTTTTTAAAGCCTATTAGAAATCTAAATTCTAAAATCTAAATTTTAATTTAAAACCTTTTGATAAGAGACCTCTGGCCTACAAAGCCTAAAATATTTACTATTTAGCTCTTTACAGAAAAAGTTTGCTGACCACAGATCTAGATTAGGGTGGATGGAGGAGCATGAGAAGACCAATGTTTTACTGAATACCTGCTGAGCACTGTGCTATGTATATGCTTGTTTGTTCTTCATTCTAAACTGAGAGATACTGTTTTTCCTATTTTACCAAAGAGGAAACCAAGACTCAAAAAGGTAATAGCACTTGTTCAAAGGCTCAGGGATAGATCTGGGACTTAAACCAGTTTTGCCTGGCTTTAAAAACCACCTTTGTTATATACTACACTGCCCATACGTTTCTTTGTATATTTTTTTTTTCTCATACTAACAATTCTTACTTTTAGTTTTAACCGCCTGGACCTACCACCCTATAAGAGCTATGAGCAACTGAAGGAAAAGCTGTTATTTGCCATTGAAGAAACAGAAGGATTTGGACAAGAGTAACTTCTGGGAATTTGAACCACAGAAGGACAAGAACTTACTTGCAATGTTTGTCCTTTTCCTTCTCTGCTTGTTGCACATCTTGTTGTAAAATTGGACTGTGACTGTTTAGAGAGAGTTATCTGAGTATAAGTAAATTAATGTTATCATTGAGATTTATTTACCAGTGATTCTGGACTTTTATTCAACATTTCCAGAAATCGGATCTGCAAATGACTAGTCAAAACCTTAACATGAGATTTAACACATCATTGAAATCTGACTTGTCTTATTCCACTAGATTGTTTCCTTAATTATGTATATGTGTATCAAAAGTCTCACTCTTCCTTTTACATCCTAGAACAGTAACAAAAACATTTTAAACTCATGTATCTGTACTCTAAAACACTGCCATCCTAAAGCAGATTTTATGTGCGTGAAAGGATTGCCTCATTCAGAAATTGTCAGTATGAAGGGGGAGATTAGGCTTTCCCCAACCCTACATTTATTTTGTTTTTTATTCCACATATGCCAGGAAATATATGTAGTATGGTCTCTAAAACCCCTAGGTTTTTTTTCCCCAAAGTTGAGACTCTCTGCCTTTTTCTTGGTAAGGGGGGAAAATGCTATTGCTTTGTCTTACAGAGCGAATGTCTGCCAACTACCCATCCATTACATAAGCCTGAACTTTGGTAATATATGGCTATGAAAATTAATTAAGCCTCTATAAAGACTTCCCATAGAGATGAATTCTGATACTGAAATGTAGTTACCTGCAGTATTTACTAGAGATTTATGAGATTAAATTAAGAGATAATGTAAGAAAGTAGACTTTTCTGATTCTACATAATGCTTGATTATTCATTTAAGGACCTAGAAATATTGTGTGAAAATGTATAAATATCACCCAAAAGGCTTTCTGCCCTATATTTTTAAAATACAGAATAGTTATATTTTAAGTAGCCCCGGCCCTAGTTCTATAGGGCTTGGCTATTTAATATTTTTATGGAGAAAACATTTAGTTCTGGAAAAGGTAAATGCTTGTATATATTTTTGCAGCCTGAGATCTCCCTTACTCCATTTCTTCCTTTAATTTAAGTGGCCACATGTATATGTCTTCCCTGCTGTGTTAGGAAAATGGGGGCTGGATATCCCAAGAATCAGAGGTTTTATAAAAAATACTGCAAATAGCAGACATAAATATCTCCAAATACTATCTTAAATTTTGGTATAAGCTGAACATTTGGAAATAGATTTATTGTAAGTGTTTAATTAGAGCAATTTCTTAAATCTGAACTAAATCGCTTTTAGAGTCCTTTTTCTTTGTGAGCATTGTAAATGCTAATAAATTGTTAAAAAAATTTTTTTTTTTTTTACTGCATGTTATGTTGAAATAAAAACAAAGTAAAATGAGCAAATTGCCTTATTCTTCTGCTCTTTTGGGAGGTTGGGGAAAGCAGCATTTCACAGCCTAGGCAGTAAGGAAGGACCTCACTTGTTTAATCAAACAGAGTGCTTTAAAACTGATCCAGCCACTCATAATAATGAATTCCTACTCTGTCTTTTATGATCTTATATTGTGCAGAAGAATCTAATTTTATTAAGACTTACAATAACTCTATTTAAGATTGAGATACTCATTTTTCAGCAAGAGATTGACATACTAATGTCAAGTCATAGAAATTTAAGTGAAATATGACTCACCTCCCCACAAAGGTCTCATGCTAAATAAGCTATTTCAGTCAAGCCCACTCTGCCCCTTTTTATTTATCTAATTAATAATGCAAAATGTTACCAGGGATGCCTCATGGAATTAGACTTTGCTATATTTATATTCCTCCTTGGTTTGGAATGTAACTCCATCCTTCTAAACTCCTAAGGTTAACTACTTCTATTTAATATTGTTGGTATCTCCAGCCCCCTCTTATTTGTTTTCCTTTTAGGGTTATTGACAAAATTATTTGTATATATGCTATGCTTTCATTAACTAAAAACGAAATAGCACCACTGGATTGTATATTACTGTATTAGCATTCCTTTTTTTTTTCTTTCTTGAAATGTAATTTCAAATACTCAGGTAATTCTACAAATATCACAGGGAGTCAAGTGCTCTTAATAAAGGCCCTTAAGGGGGCTGCCTCACTTGCATTTCCTTAAAAGATGTAACTTTATAATTAAAGATTTTTGGTCTTTCATTTGCACATTTTTCTGTTAGTCTTGAGCAAGAAGGTTTTCCCTACCTGCATAAAAGACCAGATCTTACAGATTTCTGACTGTTTTTTTAAGTGGCCAGGTTACAGCCTGTCTGTTCTGATGGGTAGGTAGAAAAAAAACTATAAAGACCCACCAAGGTGATACTGGATTTGGTACCTATTGTGAAGAGAACCAAGATGAAAACATCTAAGTCAGGACCCCAGCCATGGTGCTGAGTAGAGAAACACCAGCTAGTTATCAAGACTGACTGTTCTTTGACTAGTCAGTGTTGCTCAGTGGCTGAGCATCGACCTATAAACCAGGAGGTTATGGTTTGATTCTCCTTGATTCCCAGTCAGGGCACATGCCCGGTAGGAGGTATGCAAGAGGCCGCCAGTCGATGATTCTCTCATCATTGGTGTTTCTCTCTCTCCCTTCCTCTCTGAAATCAATAAAAATACCTTTTTAAAAAAACTATTCTCAATAAGCTGTCCTGCTCATTAGCTCCAGAAGACCTTTTCTTATTGGGAAACAAGGTGATCAACCTCTTGCTTAAAGTAGAACTAGCAGCCCTGCCTGGGTGGCTCAGTTGGTTGGAGCGTTGTCCCATACACCAAAGGGTTTTGGGTTCGATCTCCGGTGCGGGCGCATGCAGGAGGCAGCCGTTCAATGTTTCTTTGTCGCATCAGTGTTTCTTTCCCTCTAAAAATTAAAAACATATTCTCCATGCGGACTAAAACTATAAAAATAAAAATTTAATAAAATAGAACCAGGGGGGAGAGGCTAAGGCAAGAGGGTTTCCTCAAGGTATCCTACAGGTAAGGATGTGGAATTTCTTAATATGCTGATCTAACAGTGACTGGAGGACAGAAACTGCAGGTTCTGAGAAATACACCCTCTCCTGTTTAATCTGCCCAATATAAGCAACTAGAAAACTCTAGCTTCAGTGTGACTAATAAAAGGGGGAACAGGTGTCCCCCACAGCATGAGGAAATCTTCCTTGGGGAAAGAAGTAATTGCTCTTACTGACCATTGGCTTTCCAGCCCCAAATCCTACAATGAATCAAACTGGGACTCAGCTGTGGTTGACTGGCTATTTTCCCAAACTTTTAGGAATTGTCAGATTGAGTAACACCAGAACATATTGCTGTTACTCCTAACCCATTTCACTTGTCAATTCCTATGTGTCTTTAGGGCTTCTTTGTGGTCAGGACATTTGGGGGTAGGATTCAAGGGAATTTTTGTGGTTAGCAAGGAGAGGAGGATCTTCAGTAGAGATCTCAGACAGTGTTGGTCTCTCAGGAACAGGTTCCCATTAAGCAAAGACGCTATGGGCAAGAGGATTTCCTCAAGGCATCCCACAGGTAAGGATGCTGAGAATTTGCAGTCATATCTGCAGATCACTGAAAACAGCCATACTGTTATTTTTCTTCATTTCTGATTCAGACCTGCTTTTTATTTGTCTTCGCTGCCCTGGCAATCAATACCATGCCTATATTCACTTAATCTCAGGGCAACTGTCAACACTTACTACTATGTCCCAAACAGATATGTTACATGCAGTCATTTAGTCATCCTGGTCATTCTCAGAGATAATCACCTATATTTTACAAATAAGAAAATAAATACTCAAAGTCATTAACTTGAAGTGTCCACCACTATTTAGTGGCAAGAAGGCAAACTGGAATCCAGAACTGACTCCAAAGATTGCAGGGTTAAATGTTTTGCTCTATTGCTACTCACAAACTGCAATTCTTGGAGTCTTCTGTAACTTATTCAGCTGTTCCATCTAATTGGTTTCCAAATCCTATCAAATCCATCTCTAAAACTTGAATAATTTCTCTCAGAGCTGCCTCCATTGCCACAGCCCACATCTTTACTCCTACCCTGGTTGAGTGTAGAAACCTGTCATTGCTTCCATTCTCCCTTCCAGTCCATCTTGTGCTGCCTGAAAATGGTCCGTGGGAGACCTCACTCTCGTGCTTCTTCCGTGCTTAAAATCTTAGTGATTCCTCCATGACCACAGAATAAACTCCGAAACTCCTAAGCCTGCCACTCAGAGCCAACAACTACCTTTAACTCCTCCTTCCCTCTCATTCTGGCTCCAGTCCTATGAACGATTGGCCAGTTTCTGTTTTGCTTCTGTGATTGTGATCTTGTTAAATCCTTTCACCCCTTAGCCTGGTTCTCCATATAAGTAAGATGGTGATGAACCCTTGTGTGCTTATTTTCTGGGATGTTTTGAGATCCAGTCTGCAGCCCTTACAGAGAACAGAACTGTTGCACGTGATACGGAGTTACTGCACACACTTCACACAGCTTTTCCGAATGTTAACATCCTGTATAACTTGGAACAGTTATCAAAACTAATGACTTGACACTAAACTACAGCCTTAATCAGATTTCACCAATTTTTCCACCAATGACATTTTTCTCAATATCCTCCAATCTGTGCCTTCATTCTTTCATGACCTTGACATTTTTTGAAGAGTACTGTCAGATTCTTTATATAATGTCCCTCAAATTTGGTTTAATGTTTTCTCCATAGTTAAGGCCATAGATTTTTGTGAAGAATACTACAGACATGATGTGCCCTTAGTGCCTGATAACGGGGGTACACATCAATCTATATCTCGTTAGCAGTAATGTTAACCTTGATCCTCAGTTGGTGTCTGCCAGGTTGCCTTACTGTCGTCACTATCCAGTCCTTTTAACTGTAGTACAGACCCCTGGAAGGAGCACCAAAACCTTCCCCAGTTAAGAGAGGCTAAAGTAGAATTAAAAAATTGGAGTTAGCGCATCTGTGTTGAATTTAGCAAGCTCCAGTGCCTCAAGAAAAAGCATTTGTAAAAAGGGATGCTGAGGCTCCTGGAGCTAGCACGGGCCAGTAATGAGACACAAGGTTCACTAAATGGCAATTTATTTCCTACTAGAAAATCCAGAAACCTTTGTGGTCTTTGAGAGTAGATGGCTCAAGAGTGGGAAAAGGAACAACATAGGGCTGTCGAAAGAAGGGGGCCCCTTTTAAAGGTGAGAAGGGGGAGGTAGCGAGCACAGATGTGAAGTGGCTTCTTCAAGGTAACACGGGTGGGGTTGAGCTCGGAGTCCTCCGACGGCCGACTCCCAGGCTAGCCCTACCCATTTCCTATCTGAGCCTGCACGTAACATTCCCAAGGGGGTCGCGCTGGACTTTCCCGCATCTTCGGCGCATTTGGGCTCCACGCCTCACTTTGCCTCAATAGGGACGCAGAGGGGGTGGGGGGCCTCTCGGCGACTTCCTTCCTCGCCTTCATAATCGCCCACCACCCTCCACTCGGGGCTTTCAAAGCCAGTTCAGACTTCGGTTGAGAGTTGAAAGCCTCTTCCGACACTGCAAACCAGCATCTTTAGGGCACAACGGGAGTGGGGAATTTTCCGTAGCTGAAGGGCTCCTTCGCTCTTCACTTTCGAACGGCGCAGAGCAAATTCCCACGAGCCCTGGGAAACCAAAGATCTGCCTGCCCCCTCACGCTGATTCCTGATTGGTCACTAAAGCTGTCTGTTTTGACTTGGTGATCTGCGCAGGCGCAGAAACGCAGCGGGCCTGGGCAGTGTTGACGACGCGGAGCTACCCGATCCGTCCAAAATGGTGAGTGTTCGTGTAGACTGATGGCTGGCAGCCGGAAAGTGGCCGAGCGATGCCGCCCCACACCTTGCGCCTGGCTTTAGACCCTCCGGGGGCGCCTCAGAGCGCCGGGCAGGGAATCCGCGGGTTTGGAGGGCGGAACGCTAGAGGCGTGGGCCTCCAGTCCCTGACGGAGGGGACCCCGGAGGGGGCAGGGGATCCTGGTCCCCTTGACCGGAAGCTGGAGGTTGGGCCTTGGCTAGAGTCTGACGGAGTCGGACCACAGGCCCCTGCGTCCTGGCATCCTGGGCCTTGTCGCGCGAGTGTAGCAACGAGAACGTTCCCGGAAGCTTCACTGATGACAGGCACTAATGAGCGCCGTACGTAGTTTGGTTTTTCTCCTCACCATGTCTCTGTGAGATGGGTACGACCATGATCCCCACTTTACACACCAGAGATCTGAAGCCTGGGGAAGACCATGATCCCCATTTTACACACTAGAAATCTAAAGCCTAGTGCCTTCTCTCAGGAAATGGCGGAGTTGGATTTGAACCCTTGAAACCTGACTCCTGCCTTTCTATCTGTGTGGTTCTTTCGCGTCGCTGGGACTTGATGCAGGAATCAGAAACGGGCGGGACCACTCTTGGGGATCCCTGCCTTGCTGGCTGGAACTGGGCTCCTTGCGCCTTTTTTTTTTTAATATATTTTATTGATTTTTTACAGAGAGGAAGGGAGAGAGATAGAGAATTAGAAACATCGATGAGAGAGAAACATCGATTAGCTGCCTCCTGCACATCTCCCACTGGGAATATGCCCGCAACCAAGGTACATGCCCTTGACCAGAATCGAACCTGCTGTTAGGTCGGAGAGAGCCCAGGATCAAATACATGCAGACATGTGATGAGACAATGGACTTCCCCTGGAATGTCTCACAGATCAACCTGCCAGACACAGATACCCCCACACAGATACTGACTTCTTTCTGAATACCCCGCCTATCCCCTGGGCAGAGAATTCCTCCACTCATTTCCCGCCCCTCACCCAACTGCAGTATAAAAAAAAGGACCCCCTCCCTGTTGGCGTGAATCCACGTGCCCTGTCCTTGGGGTACTGGGTCTCCCGGGGACGCAGAAATAAACCTTTTCCTTTCCTTTCTTTTCTGATTCACTGGACTCTCTATTTCTTGCGCCACCTCCTGAGCCACCTAACCTAACACCTGGGACCTTTCAGTCCGCAGGCCGACACTCTATCCACTGAGCCAAACCGGTTTCGGCTCCTTGCGCCTTTACAAGTTTGTTTTTCATGTTTTTAATCCAACTTGTAAAAAAACAAAAACAAAAATTGAAAAGACCTTTTAAATGTTAAGCCATGTGACTATGTATTACTGTTCAAAACTCTTAAAAATTTAAAGCCTAACCCTAGCCGGCTTGGCCTGAGGACCAAAGGGTCCCCGGTTCGATTCTGGTCAAGGGCACTTACCTTGGTTGCGGGCTCCGCCCCTGCCCTGGCCCTGGCCCTGGCTTGTCCAGGAGGCAACCAATCAACGTGTTTCAGTGTTTCTCTCTGCCTTTCCCTCGCCCTAAAAATCAGTAGAAAAATATCCTCATGTGAGGATTAACAAAAAAATAAATAAAGCTTATAAGAAAAATTGAAAAAGAAACAGTGCCATGACCTAGAAGCAACCCCTTATATAATTACCATATTACTTCAGATGTTTATTTCTTCAGTTTTTGCTATATGTGGTTAGCTACTACTGAATGTCCAATTATGGACTCTGCTTTTTTTCATTTATTATTACACCATAAAGAATCTCTTAACATCACTAAAAAAAAATGTGATAAAGTTTCAAACATGTAACTTCATCTTTCACATCACTTTTTTTAAAAAACCCATGAGCCTTAGTGCCACACTGACTGTGGGGCCAGGTCTGCAGCCTCCTGGGCGCCTACACGAGTAATCTGCACACTCCTGCCTGGACATCAGTATCACATCACTTTATAAAGAATTTTTTTAAAGAGATGTTTTTATTGATTTCAGAGAGGGAGAGGGAAATAGAAACATCAGTGATAAATCATTGATTGGCTGCCTCCTGCATGTCCCCTGCTGGGAATTAAGCCTGCAACCCCTGACAGGGAATCGAACCAGTAACCTCCTGGTGCATGGGCCCACACCCAAGCACTGAGCCACACTGGCCAGGCTCATATCACTTTTTAGACTAAACAAAAAAGTAATTTTTTAACAGATACTTGCATACAGTAAAAAATAAACTGAAAAGATAGAAGTGAAAAATAAATCTCCCATTTAACCCTGACCCCCAGCCTGCACCCTCTCCAATCTGGGACCCCTCGAGGGATGTCCAACTGCCCATTTAGGCTCGATCCCACCCGGATCTCACAATCCAGGACTGCTGGCTCCCAACCGCTCGCCTGCCTGCCTGCCTGATTGCCCCTAACCGCTTCTGCCTGCCAGCCTGATCACCCCCTAACCACTCCCCTGCTGGCCTGGTCGCCCCCAACTGTCCTCCCCTGCAGGCCTTGTTGCCCCCAGCTGCCCTCCCTTTCAGGCCTAGTCCCTCCCAAGTGCCCTCCCCTGCTGGCCTGACCGCCCACAACTGCCCTCCCCTTCTGGCCATTTTGTGTCCACATGGGGGTGGCCATCTTGTGTGTTGGAGTGATGGTCAATTTGCATATTGCCTCTTTATTAGATAGGATCGTTAGTGTCTTGTATAAGCATATATATGCCCCCTCTTTTTCTTACATAAATTGTAGCTTACTGCAACCTGTATCATGCTGTTGTGTGTTTATACTCATAAAAGCAAAATATATTTAGAAAATTCAAGCAGTACCAAAGTGTATAATGTAGAAGGTGCGTGAAGGCCCATCTCACTTCCTATGGTATCAACTGTTGGCAGTTGGGTGTGTTTCCTTCCAGATTGGTTTAGTGCATAAGCACACATACATGTAAGCTGTTTATTACATGAAACTGGAACATATATGTTTATACATACCAAGTTTACTCTAGGCTCTGTATAGATATCTCATTCTGCAACTTACTCTGTTCACAAAAATGTCAAACATTGCCCTGACCGGTTTGGCTCAGTGGATAGAGCGTCGGCCTGCGGACTGAAGGGTCCCAGGTTCAATTCCAGTCAAGGGCATGCACCTTGGTTGTGGGCACATCCCCAGAAGTGGGCGTGCAGGAGGCAGCTGATTGATGTTTCTCTTTCATCAATGTTTCTAACTCTCTATCCTTCTCCCTTCCTCTCTGTAAAAAAAAAATCAATAAAATATATTTTTTTAAAAAAAGTCAAACATTTTTTCATGTCACCCTTGCCAGTGTAGCTCAGTTGGTTAAGCCTGGTCCTATGCATGGAAAGGTTGCTGGTTTGATTCCCAGTCTGGGCATATGCCCAGGTTGCAGGCTCAATCCCCAGTAGGGGGCATGCAGATGACAGCTGATAGATGTTACCCTCTCTCATCGATGTTTCTCCCCCTTTCCCTTTCTCTCTCTAAAATCAATAATAAAAATTTTTTTTTTAATATATTTTATTGATTTTTTTACAGAGAGGAAGGGAGAGAGATAGAGAGTTAGAAACATCGATGAGAGAGAAACATCGATCAGCCGCCTCCTGCATATCTCCTACTGGGGATGTGCCTGCAACCCAGATACATGCCCTTGACCGGAATCGAACCTGGGACCTTTCAGTCCGAAGGCCGACGCTCTATCCACTGAGCCAAACCGGTTTTGGCATAAAAATATTTTTTAAAAAAATTTAAACACTTTTCTATATCAGTATATAAATCTACATTTTTTTTTTCTTTTTGAAGATTTTTTTTTTTTTTTTTAATTATATGTACAAAGGGATAGCGTTCTGTCATAAGGTAGATGTCTTGAATGACCCATTCATGGAAGTTCACTTAGTCCAACTTAATGAAACCTATGTCTGGTGGCACATGTTGAGGCCCTATTTCCACATCAGACCGCGGCGGTTTGAGCAGACGTGGCAAGAACGAGAACCTGGCCGAATTTCCTCAGATGGCTCCTGTAGAGCTGCTGCTGACCCACCTTGCTCTCTCTGTAGCAACAAGACCAAAGGAAAAAGACTACTTCATTCTTGTATAGTATTCTATTGCTATATATACATCTAGGTGGTTTACAGTTTTTCACTTCAGACAGTGTGCTGTAACTATTCTTGTCCTTTTTATTTTATTACATTCATGGTAGTCATTATGTAGTGTTTATGTAGCATAGATTCTTACAAGTGGTACTTCTGGCATGCATATTCTACATTTTGGTAGAACCTGCCAAATTGCCCTTTAGAACAATGATCATCTATAATTCTCACCAGTTTTACTCCCACCACACAACTATTTTCTTCTCTATGTTGTCCTTCCTCCTTGTTCAGATATGCATATTTTTCAAGGTGTATATACTAATTTTTCTTTTTCATTTGTTTTAATCTTGTTGCATCATCTTTGTGATGAATATTTGTGTGCTGTGTAATAATCAGTGAAACAGCTGTACCATAATTTGCCAAACCATTCCCCTGGTGTACACTTGTGGTGCATCTAGTTCTTCATTAGTAGAGATAATGCTGTGATGAATGCCTATGATTGTGTAGATGTTGTTTTATTTTTATTTTTTTAATTATTAGATTCTTTCCTTAGGCAAAGTCTCAGGAAAAGAAATTCTGAGGTGAAAGGACCAGCGCTTTATGGTTGTTGCAATAGTGTTATCCTGAAGCTTGCCATAACATTGCAAACAGTGAAAAAAGTTACCTCAGCATTGCTATAATTCTTCACTTCTTTTTTTATAGGGAACAATGAACATTTTTCTATGTACTTGTAGTTTCTCTTATTTGTTTTTTATTTATTTACTTAATTACTGATTTTAGAGAGTAGAAGGGAGAGAGAGAAACATTGATGTGAGAGAGAAACATAGATGGGTTGCCTCCCACACGTAACCTGACCTGGATATGTGCCCTGACTGGGATTCGAACTGGTAACCCCCTGTGTATGAGTCCA